GAAAAAGAGAGAGAGGTGGAGAGAGACCTTTCACCCACTGCTTCACTCTCCAAATGTCCATAACAGCCAGGGCTGAGCCAGGCTGAAGCCAGGAGCCCAGAACTCCATCCGGGTCTCCCACATGGGTGGCCGGGACCCAAGCACCCTGAACCGTTACCCGCTGCCTCCCAGGGTGTGCATTAGCGGGAAGCTGGATCAGAAGCAGAATCGCCAGGACTCAAATCAGGCACCCAAATATGAGATGTGGGTTCTCAAGCCTTAACTTAACCACTGCACTACTAACCACAGTTAGAGTTCTAGGTTTCAGTCTCAATTCTGTCCTTCAAAGCTGTGTGACCCTGGGTAAGTCCCATCTCTCTCTGAGCCTCCTTGTCCCCTCATTTAAATAAATGAGGATCTGCCTGATTAATTACGAGGGAAATCAATGGGGAAAAAAAGCAAACATGGAAAATGCTTAGCACAGTGCCAGGACCGGAGACTGACAAATCCAATTACCAGGGGAAACTGACGTGACTCTCCGTGCCTCAGTTTCTCCACTCATCAAAAGGGCTAATAACAGTTTTATCCCACAGGGATGGACACGAGGAATAAAGGAGTTACTGCGGCTAAGCTCTAGCGAAGTCCCTGGCAGGCAGTATGAACATCAGTAAGCACTTGTTATTATTTTTTTTAAAGTCCCAAGGCCTGTTTGAGGGCAGCCTGAGAAGATTGGGGGTCTCCCACCCCTCTTACTGCCTGTGGCTCCAGACACTGCCTTTGCTGCCATTTGGCTATTATTAGGCCCAGTGTCCTCATCTCAAACCCAGATGGAAAAGCAAGGGCGGGCGGGCAGGCCGGGCCCGGCTGGCGGATGGCTGGGAACAGGGCTGGGAGGCCGGGTTTGGGTTTGGGTTTGGGCTGGGCTCCACCCCGCCGGCCCTCCCTCGCCTGCAGCTGGTCCAGCAGCCACGTCGACACTTGGCTCTGCGCGCTTGGTGCCGAGCGCTCCCTCCCACCCTGACCGCCTCCTCTGGGAAGATTCTGAGCTTTTGTGCAGCCTCAGCACTTTTTTGCCTGCCCCCAGAGAAGCCAGGCCTGTGTGGAGATGGAACAGAACTGCAAAGGGACCCCCTGCCCTGATGTGTGCATGTCCCCCTGCCTCCGATGAGGCGTACTGGGGCCACAGGGGGAAGAACTCACACACCTGGGTTTAAATCCCAGCCAGTCCACCACCGTGCTGGGTCAGCCTGGCCAAGTGACTTCCCCTCGCCAAGCCTCAGTTTCTTTATCTGGAAAATGGGCAAAAGCTTAGCACCTACTTCCCAGGACTGGGGTGATGACTTCAGTGAAGGGTGCGCAGGAGGCCCCCGGTTATATCGGTTGCTATGGTTATTTCATGCTTAGGTGCGGCAGGTCTCAAAAGAACAGAAGAGGGATTAGGGGAGACAGAGGACGTGAGGCGCCCCTGACTTGCTGAGTGACCTGCAGCCTTTGCCTCTCTGGGGCTCAGATTATGATTTGGACCATGAAACCGGGCTGCAAGGACTCTAGGACTCCCAAATGGGGGATGGGCGGGATACAGTGACTGAGAGCAAAGGTTCTGGGCGGGCATTTAACACAGTGGTGATGCCGCATCCCGCACTGGCATGTACCTGGGTTCAAGTACTGCCTCTCCTCCCTTATTCCAGCTTCCTGCCAATGCACGCCCCGGGAGGCAGGGCTGACGGACAGCTCCAGCTGTCGTGTCCCTACCAGTCACATGGGAGACCTGGATCCAGTTCCTGACTTCCAGCTTCTGCCTTGGATGTTGTGGGCATTTGGGGGGTGCACCATGGCTGGGAGCTTTGCTCACTCGCTCTCACCTTTTTTTTTTTTTTTTTTTTGACAGGCAGAGTGGACAGTGAGAGAGAGAGACAGAGAGAAAGGTCTTCCTTTGCCGTTGGTTCACCCTCCAATGGCCGCTGCGGCTGGCGCGCTGCGGCCGGCACACTGCACTGATCCGATGGCAGGAGCCAGGTGCTTCTCCTGGTCTCCCATGGGGTACAGGGCCCAAGCACTTGGGCCATCCTCCACTGCACTCCCAGGCCACAGCAGAGAGCTGGCCTGGAAACACACACACACAACCACCAAGGGACTGTGCTCCAGTTGGGTGGGTGGTGCTAGTGTGGCTTGTCCTCACTGATACTGCCTCCTTGTCTGCATGACGGTGTCCAAGGTCACAGGACTCAAGCCCTGAGGGTCACAGGTGGATGACAAAGGTGTCACCCCTGTACTTTCAGGGTGATCCCGAGCCAGGACCCTGTCCACTAGATGACAATGACACACTGCCCCCTCCATTAGCCTAGACCACCTCCAGGCTCCAGGGAAGCCCCACTCCCACCCCCGCCGGAAGTCACAGGAGGTCCAGGCTGGCCCGTCCAGAGCCCTAGCCTTTGTCTACGAGGCTGAGCTCCTCCCAAGTGCTTCGCTGCCCAGTGCGCGTCTCAGGCCCCACGCTCCTCCTCCAAGGCCGGAAGTTTTTATGGCACTGCTGCCCAGAACTCACAGCAGCTGGGTGACATCATGGGGGTGATGGCCTTGCCAAACTGGTTTGCCAAACAGGTCCTCAGTCCCACTCCCAGGGCTGCTGGCTGTGACCTTGGGGGCCTCCGATTATGCCGTGAGGAGGAGTCTCACAGTCTCTGGATCCAGCCGAGCCGGCGGGAGCTGGTTCTTCTTGAGGGACCCCAAGCTCCAGCCTCCCCTGTCTGACTTCCCTTCCTCTGCTGGTGCTGTGCCTTCCCAGGCTGCCTTCCCCCATACCTGGGCTGTGCTCTGTCAAACAGCCCAGAGGCCACCTTTCCCTCCTCCCACCCTCCTCCAGCCCTCTCCAAGCCCCCCATCCTGCTATGGTCCAGCAGCCCCTGGGTCCCCCCATGGCCCCAAGACCCCGGCTTCACAGCCCAGGATGGAAGGGGGCCTCCTCCCTGAGACACCTTGGAAATTTGTTGTCCAGGCTGGGTAGAGGGGACTTGAGCTCAAGGCAGAATTCCCACGCTGTACAGATAAGGAAACTGAGGCTCCCAGGGGGTAGTGGTCTCGCCGGGGGGGGGGGGGCAGGGAGCTGACCCATCACCCTTTTTGCTTCCTGATCCCGGTCTGGGCTTTCTCATTGGGATCCTGACTGTTGGGGGGAGTTGGGGCAGGAAAGCCAGGGTGACTTGGGAAGCAAAACTACCAGTTTGGTAAAATAGTCCTTCTGGACCTCAGGCTCCAGAGCAAACCTTGGTCCCAGAACTGCTCTCGTTGGCCGGCGCCGTGGCTCAATAGGCTAATCCTCCACCTTGCGGCGCCGGCACACCGGGTTCTAGTCCCGGTTGGGGCGCCGGATTCTGTCCCGGTTGCCCCTCTTCCAGGCCAGCTTTTTGCTATGGCCAGGGAGTGCAGTGGAGGATGGCCCAGGTGCTTGGGCCCTGCACCCCATGGGAGACCATGAAAAGCACCTGGCTCCTGGCTCCTGCCAGGATCAGCGCGGTGCGCCGGCTGCAGCGGCGGCCATTGGAGGGTGAACCAACGGCAAAAGGAAGACCTTTCTCTCTCTGTCTCTCTCTCTGTCCACTCTGCCTGTCAAAAAAAAAAAAAAAAAAAAAAAAAAAGAACTGCTCTCGTCACTCCCCGCTCTGCCAGGCCAGAGATGGAGCTGGAAGAATCTGGAAGCTTCCTAGTACAGTCCTTTGCCCTAGGGGGGCCTGAAGGGGCCAGTCCAAGCATCTCCCTACCTGCCTGTCCCCCAGTGTCACCAGGTACATTCACACTGCTCATCTGACCTCAGGGTCACTGCAGATGGAACCACTCTCATTTCCTGCTCCACCCACAGCCGACCCGCCTCCTTGGCCCACTCACAAGTCGCCCGGCTTTTTCTCACACCGTGCTGCCACAACATGTCCATCCGTTCCTTTCCCCCGCTTCTCCGTGGGGTGAATCTCTGCGCTCCTCTCCAAGGACACACCACCTGCCCTGAGAAGCCTCCCGGCCGCAGGGAGGAGGGAAGCAGCTCCCACTGAGACTGCGATGCCTTACGTACCTTGCACACCTGTCAGACTGCAATAGTGAGAGTCCCAGGTCTGAAAGGCAACAGGTGCTCACGGGATGTTTACTCTTCCCCTGGGCTGTGCTGTAAGCGTCCCCAGCAAGTCTGTGGGCCGCCCTTTGATCCCCAGCACTCACCTCCCCCACCCCCACCATCCCTCCCTTGTAAGATGGGCAGGTGGGTCTGGGGGCGGAGTCCAGCCTTCTGGTCCCTACTGTAGAGTTGAGAGAGCCTGCACCAGAAATCTAGTCCATTCGCGCGGGCACTCACCTGCGCTGCGCCTCCCTGCTGGGGAGGGCAGAGCTGGCACACAGCAGGCCACTCATTGGCACCCACAGCTGCCACTCGGGCAGGCCCTGCGAATCTGAGGAGGTCTAGGTATGGCGCGCTCACAGGGGCACTGCCCAAAAGCGCGGGAAACTGGAAGGCGGGCAGAAAGGACCCACGTTCTGGGGAATCAGGTTGCGTCTAGACCAGGTAAAGTGAACCCAGGGCCTCCAACCGCAGTCTTCAAACTCGATTTCTTCTTGCTACTCCTCCCTTGGCAAGTCGCTGGGTTTCCCAAGGTGTAAGATGGCACCACCTCTGAGGGAGGTGGGAATGAAAGGGGCTAATAAGGCCAAGACTCCCAGAGCGGGCTACCAGGTCTCTCCCTAGATTGGGGGAAGGGGTGGAAGGTACACAGAGGATCTGGACCTCCGGGGTGGGGTGGGGGGGTCTCTGGGGCAACAAGCTGACAGCGCCTGCCCATGGCCACAAACCCCAGCCCCACTCACTACCTATCACCTGCTGTCTTCACTTGTAAAATGGACCCCTGACCCAACCTGTTAACAGGCATGCTACGGGGACAATGAGGGGACTTCAAAAAGTTCGTGGAAAATGGAATTTTAGAAACAAGCTTGAGTGTACACATTTTTGAAATCCATGCAGTTTTTTTTAAATAATATACATGTTTCATGATTTAAAAAAATATTTATTTACTTGAAAGAGCTACAGAGAGAGCAAGCGAGGTCTTCCATCTGCTGGTTCATTCCCCAGATTGGCTGTAACAGCGGGGGCTGGGCCAAGCTGAGGCCGGGAGCCAGGATCTTCTTCTGGGTGTTCCACGCGGGTGGCAAGGGTCCAAGGACTTGGGCCATCTTCCACTCCTTCCCCAGGCCATAGCAGAGAGCTGGATGGGAAATGGAGCGGCCTGGACTTGAACCAGTGCCCATCCAGGATGCCAGAAATGCAGGCAGCTGCTTTAAACCGCTGGGCCACAATGCTTCAGGCCACGTCCCTTGTCTCCCAGAGTCCGCATTAGCCAAGAATCAGGCACCGAACCCCGAACCCGGGCACACGGGTGTGTGACTTGGGCCCTTAACCACTAGGCTAAACGTCCACCCTTTCACAAGCTTTTTTGAATATCTCTCATGTGCATGGCTTTCAGGTTTTTTTTTTTTTTTTGCACCAAAATAAACTTCTGCTTCCGTCTTCCACAAACATGTTGAAGTGTCCTCACACAAATCACAGGAACTGACATTGCATTTGACAGACGCCACTCCAGAGCGCATTCTCCCAGCCCCGTGCCCTCTGGTCCCCATAGAGATCCCCCCGGGTGGGGGTGGGGGGGTTCCAGGGCGTCCTGCTCGGGGTGGACCGGGTGGGCTCTTGTCCCCTAGCTCACTCTTCATTTAGTCTCGGGCACATCGGTTCCCTCTGGGCCTGCGTGTGGGCTCCAGCGCTTCCAAGGGGCAGACCCGGAAGGGCTTGGGAAGGGGCGCGCGCAGGACAAGGTGTGTGGTGGACCCGGGAGGAAAGGCGTGCTGTGTGCTGGCCGCTCGGTCCCCGCTCCGAGGTGGCCCAGGCCGGGTGTCCCGAGAAAGCGGCCTGGGGGCGGCGACCGACTTGGAGCCCTGACGCTGGGAGGAGGTGGAGCAAAGGGAGGGGACGTGGTCTTCCGAACAAAGAGGAGGCGGGGAGGGGCTGTCCCAAGGCTCAGGGACTCGCGCGGTCCCGGGCCACTTACCTCGGCTCGGGGGGGCCCTCCTGGACTTGGGCACGGAGCCCGCGTGCCCCTGCCGGCGTCCTCCCGACCCTCGGAAGACCGCGGCGGCAGCCCCCAGACTTCAATCCCCAACCTCGCGGGACCCTCGAGGGGCGGGGGCCGCCTCCGGGGGGGGCGTGACCACTAAATTGAATTCCCCCAATGGGGCGGGAGAGTGGGCGGGACCCCAGCGCGGGTTGGCTGCATTGCCGGCGCGGGGCGGGGCCCGCGGGGCTGCTGGCGCGGCTGGACGGGCAGCTCTCGCAGAGTCCAGGGGACGGTTGCTGAGCGGGCCTGGGCTCCCAGGTCGCGGCGCCTCCCGCCTGACCGTCTCTAATCTGCAACTGTCGCGCCCGGAGCGAACTGACCCGAGCCCGCGCCGGACGGGCGGGCTGGACTGAGAGGTGAGTGTGCGGACCTCGGGACGGCGCCAGGACCCCCGACGGGTCCAGAGGGTGGAACCCGGATATCTCTTACCCGGGTTCTGGAACTCTCAGAACTGAGAACTGCTTCCCTCCTCGGGTGTGGATACTTAAGGTTCTGAGGCCTTGGAGAGGGATGCCCACCGGCCTCCAACAGGGGGCTTCCCCACCTCCGGGGCACTATTCTGTGGGTACAGACTTCGCGAGGGAAGCCCCCAGAGACCCCCGAGGCTAGACTCTGTGACAGGGGGCTATGGGACTGGACTGGAGGGGGGTGCCGGAGAATTTCTGAGGACGAAGAGACTTCTCACAGCCTCCTGGGTGTCCGAGCCTGGGCACGAGGGACCCCCACCCTTCAGAAGAAGCCTAGGTGGGAACACAGTGTTCAGAGAACCAGGGCTGGTGCCCACTCAGCGACACTTCCTGGGGAAGACGGTTACTCCAGATAGGTAGGTAAGGGACAAGGACCCTAACACACAGGGAGGCCGGCAGTGGGGTGGGGGACACAGGTCTGAACCTACCAGGAAGCAAGCAGTGACTTGAACAGACAAGGTCAGACAAACCCCAACTGTGTGGTTAGGAGCCCCCCCCCCAAGATCCATTCCCTGGTTGGGGTGACTCGCCAGGTGACTCTGACGGGTAAAAGGATGCTTGAGAAATGAATCAGTGGAAGGGGGGAGCCTGGAGCCACCGCACATGAACGGAGCACCTCCGGTGTGCCCTTGGCTTCCAGAGAGATACCTGGGCTGCGGAGGAAGGGGAGCTGCACGGGGAGGCTGGGCCGGGAGTCCGGGATCCGTTTTGACGAGCAGTGCCGGGGGCAATGTGGAGTGTCCCGGGCGCCTGGGACTTCAGAAGGCTGCTTGAGAAACTGGAGGTGACTAAGACTTTTATTCAGTTCCTCCCTGCCCTCTGAGCCTTTGGGGTCCTTTCCGCGCCCGTGACAAATCCCTGGTCCTCTCCCACCCTCTCCGTTTGCATCAAGTCCAGGCGTTGGCCGGGGTCAGCGTCCAGTGGGCATTCCGGGAACGGAGGCATTGAATTGTGTGTGAACTGTTAGGAGGAGTTGGGTGCCCGGACACCTGGCTTCCTGAGGTCCGGGGAGTTGGCAGGGAGAAGGCAGGGACAGGAAGCGTGGTGGGGGGGTGTGCGTGGAGGGCTGGCTGCGTGGACTGGAAGACGCTGTCCGTGTACCTGCAGTGCCTGGGCAGTGAGAGTGGCGGCAGCAGCAAGGACTTGCACAGGGCTCAGCCCACAGCCGGAGCCTGGGTTTGCCGAGTGGGTGGGGGGCTGGGCAGGCCTGGGGATGGATGGGTGGGTGGGGCAGGAAACTCCCGAGACTGGTGTGCACCCCCTGGTGGTGAGCACAGTGGGTGGCCCTTGCTGGGCGCGGTAGCTTTTCCATCCAGGTCTCTGCTGTCCTGTTTTGAGACTTGAACAGGATGAGGGCCTGAGGCCTCACAGCAGCAGAGTAACAGTGGAGCTGGCAAGTTGAAACCAGGGACCCTGGTTCCAGCAAACCACCTGAAGGTAGAGTTCAACTCCCAGCCAGGATAGGAGAGCAAAGATGGGGCAGTAACAGGTTGCAGAAGGAAATGAGGCGGGTGCCGCCCCGTTGCCCAACCCTGGTAGGCCTAACTCATGTCTGTCCCCTGCAGGGCCCCCTGAGCTGGTGTCAGGTGCCGCGGGCACTGAGGATCTTACCGGGAGGAGGCGGACGGAGCTAGGGGCCAGTGAAATGGCGGACGAAGCCTTAGCTGGGCTGGACGAGGGAGCCCTTCGGAAGCTGGTAAGCACCCCAGTGGGCCCACCGCAGTTAAGGACAAGCCGGGCCAGAGAGGCAGGGCCAGCCCCGGCTACCTCCCAGCTGGCAGAAAGCGGGTGATGGAGGAGGGGCCAGGCCTGTTCCGTGTGACTGATGCCAAGGCCCCCGTGGCATGTGCCGTCCACACCAGGTGCCCAAGCCTGGTGGCTCCCAGCTCCCCCCCACCCCACCCCACTGCCACCACCTGTTTAAACAGTAACTGCTGAGGACTCGCCCATGTGCAGCCACAGGTGTGGGGAGGCTGGATCCGCCTCTCCCAAGCAACAGCTCCTGGAAGCTGGCCCACGTGATAATGGTGGCAGCAATGATTAATAACGCCAGGGGATGGCACAGGACGGGCTGGGCGCACCATTGCATGCTCACAGCAGCTCCCAGAGCCAGGACACTGCAGCTCACACAGCTGGATCACCTGCCCAGCCAGGAAGGGCACCCAGCTGGGGAGCTGTGCCAAGGTCCAAGCCCCAGGGAGAGCTGTGGGGGACACCAAGAGTCGTGGCAAGGTCGAGGCCGGCAGAGAGGGACTTTATGGGACCTTCTGGGTCCCGTGACTTCTAGTCTGTCATCTTCCCATTCTGGGTCTCGGTTGCTTTGCCTGTGAAATGGGGATGGGGAGGTTCGCGTAAACACAGCCCAAGTCCTGGGGTTGGCGTATGGATGAATGAGGCACACTCGCTCCCAGACCTTGGGTCCCTTTCCCTCGGCTTCTTCCTGAGGGTCCTTTCCCCACCCCCACCCACCCCCCATGCACAGACAGGCTGTGAGGCAACCCAGCAAGGCCAGGCAGCAGCTGACCTGGGGGAGGGGCTACAGGCCCACCTTCCCAGCCCCTGACCCTTGTCCTGGAGGGGAAATTAAAGATTTACCTCCCTGCGCAGAGGACAAGTGATCTCCCCCACCCCCACCCCCTCCTACCCCGTGCCATTTCCACAGAGGCAAAGACTAACGCCAGCCCCGGACGGCCCAGATACTGGACAGTGCCCGGCTGCTGTGTCCCCAAAGCCCTGTGTCCGCCCCCGCCACTGTCTGCGGGGTGGGGTTTCCGCGGGTGCACGGCCAGCGGTCAGGAAGAGACCCAGGGCAGGCGGGAGCCGCAGAGTCGCGCACACACCGCACGCCGGGACTGCTCGCTCTCCGCGCACGCCCAACGTCCGGGGGTCCACTCTGAGGCTCGGGGGTCTACAGCCGCCACCTTCCTGGGTCTCAACGCAGGGTCTGGGCCAGGGTTTCAAAGAGGCCGGAGCGGCGGCTGCAGTCGGCCCAACCCTGTCCCACGCCCCACTCCCTGGGAAAGGACGCAGAGACCCCGCCCCACGCCCCTCCCACCCTGCAGCCCCCCGGCCCGCCAGGACTGCGCCTCAGCGCCCGCCGGGGGTCCCGCCCGCCGGCCTCGTGGCAGGAACGGGGGACGTCGCCAGCCGGGCTCCTCCCCGCGGGGCCGGGCCTTATAAGGGAAAGCCGGCCCCGTGGCACCCGCCCCGCGCCCCAGCGTCGGGCCAATTCGGGGACCCCGGCCGCTGCTTCCGGCCTCGGCTCCGGCACATTCCTGCGGGCGGGCCGGGGGCGTCCGGGGACACGCACGCCGCAGGCTTCTGCGCCCCGTGCCGGGAGGCCCTACGCCTCGGTCCCGGGTTCAAGGTCGGGCTCCGACACTTCACAACTGTGCAGCCGGAGGCGGGAAGAAGGCTCAGATCTGTGAACCGCCGTTTCCTTTCGGCAGATGGGGGACATTAAAGCGGGCGGAGGCGAGGGGGGAGCTTCCTGTCCTCGGCGCCGAGAGCCGGCGGGCGGGCCGTGGGCGGGGCCCGGCGGGCGCGGACGATTCCGGAGCCGGCGGGCCTTGAGCGCCCCCTAGCGATGCCTCGCTCCACTGCTGGCGGCTCCCCCTTGGGCCACCTGGGTCAGTTTGTCCTTAGCCACCGCCTCCAGAGAGCCCCCTCTTGCGCAAAGGGGCTGACAGAGGCCCAGAGGGACGCAGCAAGGGCAGCGAGCACTGTCGGCCCGGCCCCCTCGGGAAGGAGGAAGCACCCTCTTTCCTCCCGGGAGAATTTCACTGGGCAGTTTCGGAAACAGCTCCGGCCCCTTCCACTTCCTCCCGCGGGTGGACAATGGCCCTTTGTACTTTCCTCCCTCCCTCCTCGGGCCCCCTCCTCACACACTGGCAGCGCCTGAGAGGGCGGGGACCGCAGGACACAGCGGGGACTCTGTGGGCCGACCTTTGTGGAATGACTGTGGGCCACCGCCCCACCCTGGGGCCCAGCCCTGCCACTCTGGTGGGGGGATCAGAGGGAGCCGCCCGTTTTCCAAGTGGGGGCCGCTGAGGCTCCCAGAATTTGCAGAGGTGGCCAAGTTCCCACATCAGCCCTTTTTCAGGGAAAAAGACCTGCCTCGAGCCCAGCGCATTGGGAATTAGGGCGCCTGAGGGACCCCTTTACCCTCTAGATGGGCTGGACCAGCTGTCCCCAGCCCCCTGGGCCCCAGATGTACCACAGGGGCTCTGGGCTCTGGGAGGTGGGGAGCTGAGCCTCATTCTCCCACTGCCAGACTAATGCCCCCATCCCACACCCCCGAAAGGCCTCAGGGCACCTCCAGTCCAGACTGGGGGGGTCCCCACCTGCAAAGGGCAGGCAGGCGAGTCAGAGAGACCTGGGTTCAAATCCTGACTCCTGGGCTAGACCCCAGCAGAAAGCGTGGCTCCTTGCTGCAGGACCCCTGAGTCACTGCCGGTGGGGGGGGGGGGGGGGATGGTCCCACCTGGCAAATGAGAAAACTGAGACCCAAACAGGTTCCGGTTCAGGTTAAGCTGCCAGCTGGGGGTTCTGGCCTGAGCTGCAGGGGGCCCTCCCAGGCCTCCTCAGGAATGTGGAGCCTGGTGGGGGGGCTCTATTCCCCACAGTCCCCCCCCCCACCAGCTCACACTGGGACTGGGTTGGCCGGTGCCCCTGGCGGAGTGGAGCCAGCCCCAGCTCCCTGTGAAATCTCTATCTGCACCCCACCCCCTCACCCCTGCCACCCGGCTCCCCTGCTGAGCAGGAAGGAATGTTGGGGGAGGGGAGGCCAGCAAGGCAGGGGTCCTGGGCTCCTTGGCCCTCCCACTTCACTGCTCTGGGGGGTGGTGACCGGGGAAGTCACCCAGCCTTTGCTTGCTCTCCAGCCCACCTGGAAGGTTTATTTCTGCCCTAGCTTCCCAGGGCCCCTTGAGGACAGAGGATCCAGGAGGGGCGGGGGTGGGGAGCTCATCCAGCTGCAGCTGTGGAGAGCACCAGGCTCAGCTGACTCAGCCCCGGGCAGTGCCCTGCCCTGGACCTGGTTGGACCAGCCACCCTCCAATCTCCCGAGAAGCTGGTGGGAACCTCTCCCCCAGGGACACCCTCTCTAGGGCTCTGGGTAGCTCCTGGTGCCAGCTGCCTTATCCCTCTAGGGGACTGGCCTCCCATTCTGGGCCCCGGCTCCTTCTGGAAGGGACAAGAAATAGCCCCAGCCAAGCAGGGAGCTAGGGTTCCAGTGCACCTGACTCAGTTTCCCCGTGTGTCCTACGTGGATGCGGCTGCGGCGCTTCAGGACTGGATCAAGAGACTCCCTTGCTCCCAGGGTGGAGTCCAGCTGCCCCCCCCCCATCCTCCTCAGCTGTCAGTGCCCCTTGGTGGTTCCCTGACTCTTAGGGGTTTGGTGAAAGGCTCTGAGGGGAGGAGTCAAGTTGCTGGCCGCCTGCTGAGAGTAGGTATTCTGTGGACCCACCACCAGGAGCCCTGCTGCATTGAGCTGGGTCTCCCCTCCTGAGACCCTGAGTGGGCAAGCAGGCACGTGAAAGGCTTCGGGCACAGGCAGTGGAGACAGGCCCCTCATTGTGCCCCAGGCAGAGCCGTGGGCAGCTGGTGCCAGCCCTCCGCCCCCCGGCAGCCAAAAATGACCTGCCCCTCGCCCCCGCCTGCCCTTCAGCTGGAGGTCACGGCAGATCTGGCGGAGCGGCGCCGCATCCGTTCGGCCATCCGAGAGCTGCAGCGGCAGGAGCTGGAGCGCGAGGAGGAGGCCCTGGCATCCAAGCGCTTCCGTGCCGAGCGGCAGGACAACAAGGAGAACTGGCTGCAGTGAGTGGCGGGGCGGTGGGCGTGCAGGGGGGAGAGGGCGCGTGTGCCAGGGCTCAGCTCCTGTGTGCAGGCAGGGGCGTCTGCCTACCGTCTGTGTGTGCAGTTGGCGGAATGAGGGTCCGTCCAGTGGTTAAACCACCACTTGGGACACTGCATCCCGGGAGAGTGCCTGCCTGGAGTCCTGGCTCCTCCACTTCCTATCCAGCTTCCTGCTAATGCGCACCCCGGGAGGCAGCAGGGGGTGGCTCAGCTTGAACACCTGCCACCCACATGGGACACCCAGGTTGAGTTCCTAGCTCCTCGCCTCAGCCTGGCCCGGCCCTGGCTGTCATGGGCACTTGGGAGTGAACCAGCAGAAGGATTTCTGTCTCTCTGTCTCTGTGTCCTTCACATAGAATGAAAAGATTTTTTTAAAAGTTCATGGGAAAGGGTCGGCGCCGTGGCTCACTTGGCTAATCCTCCGCCTGTGGCACCGGAATCCCATATAGGCGCCGGGTTCTGGTCCCGGTTGCTCCTCTTCCAGTCCAGCTCTCTGCTGTGGCCCGGGAGGGCAGTGGAGGATGGCCCAGGGGCTTGGACCCTGCACCCGCATGGGAGACCAGGAGAAGCACCTGGCTCCTGGCTTCGGATCGGCGTAGCTCCGGCCGTGGCAGCCATTTAGGGGGTGAACCAACAGAAGGAAGACCTTTCTCTCTGTCTCTCCCTTTCACTGTCTAACTCTACCTGTCAAATAAATAAATCTTAAAAAAAAAAGTTCATGGGAAAAATGGACTGAAAGATAAGTTTACTTTGCTAAAAAAAAAATGAAATCCATGCATTTTTTTTATCATAGGTGTTTTTTGCGAACTTGTTTGAAAACCCCTAAATGCATGGGTTTCAAATATTTCTGCATACAAACTTGTCTTTTGTTTTGTTTTGTTTTGTTTTTTGACAGGCAGAGTTAGACAGTGAGAGAGAGACAGAGAGAAAGGTCTTCCTTTTCTGTTGGTTCACCCCACAATGGCCACTGTGGCCAGCGCTGATCCGAAGCCGGGAGCCAGGTGCTTCTCCTGGTCTCCCATGGGGTGCAGGGCCCAAGCACTTGGGCCGTCTTCCACTGCCCTCCCAGGCCACAGCAGAGAGCTGGACTGGAAGAGAAGCAACTGGGACAGAATCCGGCGCCCTGACCGGGACTAGAACCCGAAGTGCTGGTGCCGCAGGCGGAGGATTAGCCTAGTGAGCCATGGCGCCGGCCACAAACTTGTCTTTCAATTCCATTTTCCACAAACTTTAAAATACACTCTGATGTGTGCACATAGGCATGCTTGTGGGCACGGACTGCAAACCGGGCACGGTGGCCTGGCCACACCAGTGCACGCGGCACGTGGCATCGGTGCTCATGGCCACGTACGTGCATGCACTAGAGTGCACAGCTCTAGGGACCTCTGCCAGGGTTCCGGGTGCCGGGTCCTGGCCCCGACGCTTGTCCTACCTCCTCCACCACCCGCCCATGACGTGGTGTTACAGCCATGATGTCTCTGCAGCTCCGAGCAGCGGGAAGCTGAGCAGCGGGCCGCCCTGGCACGGCTGGCGGGACAGCTGGAGTCCATGAATGACGTGGAGGAACTGACCACGCTGGTGAGGCCCAGGCCGGGGGCAGGGGCTGGGGGCAGCCTGGGGGGGAGGCCTGAGTGCCGAAACCCAGCAGCACCCATGGCCTGCGTCTCCGCTTCCAGCTGCGAGGTGCTGCGGAATACGAGGAACGCAAGTTGATCCGAGCTGCCATCCGCCGCGTCCGGGCTCAGGAGATCGAGGGTGCGTGTGGCCTGCCTTCTCCTGGCCTCACCCCTGCCCTGCGCTCAGCAGCCCGCGGCACCTCCCAGCCACTCACCTGCTGCTTGCCGCTTCCCTTCCAGCTGCCACCGTGGCCGGGAGGTTGTGCAGCGGGCGTCCCAACAGCGGCTCGCGAGACGACGGCCAGGGACGGGCGGCAGCACACAGGCTCGAACGGCGTGAGGTAGGGAACACGGCAGCGTGGGAGGCTGGCCCGGGCTCCTTGGCCCACGGATGCCACCAGTGCAGAGCCCTTGAGAGTCCTTGCTTAACTATGGTTGACTGCGAGAGGATCCCTAAGCCTGTAGACACCGGGGCTCCATCTCAAGGCTCCGCCCACACTCCCAGGCAATCTCTGGCGACCTGTCCCCCACCGCAAACCCTGTCCCTACCCAGGACTTCCCTTCTACACTGCCTCCCACTTCCGCCCTTTCCCATGGCCACCTGTGTTGGTACACAGGCACTCCTCGCACCTGCCCTCCTCCCCCCACCCCCAGCAGTCAGAGGGATTTCCCAGAAATGCAAATCTCACCCCGGAAGTCCCCCTGCCTAACCCCCGTTCCTTATCCTCCAGGCACACTCCCCCCCTTCCTTACCTCCTCTTACCAGGGCCTGTGTGTCAGGCCCAAGCACTTTCACAGAGTCCCCTCTGTTCTCCAGGGAGCGTGGGTGAGCTGTCAGGCTGTGCAGGTTCCCTAAGTGACCAGCAGAGGCCGCTGCATCCCTAGTCCTGGCAGGCCCCCATCTCCGGACTCTGATTAATCAGGCTGAGGCCAAGGGATCTAGGGTCTGCCCAAGGGATCTGTTAAGCCTAGGTCTCCTGCCACCCCCAACCACTGACATTAGGACCTGGCCCTCAGTGAGCTACCTTTGGCTGGGCTGTGCCTAGAGATTGAGGGTCAGGGGCTGCCCCTAGCGTGCCAGTGCCCATGCAGGTGTGCCCACAGGAAGTCATGCCCAGCTCCTCTGCTTTGCATGCCCTGCCCTGGGCACCTGCCAGCCTGGTGCTCAGAGAGTAGGTGTGGCACCCGTGGTCTGGAGAGACTTGGGCATATCCTATGGGTCCCCCGCAGGTGCCGGAGCGAAAGGAACAGGAGCAGCAAGCAGAGGTCCTAGAGCCAACCCCAACCCCCCCTGAGGTCATCAGCCAGGATGTGACCTCAGTGACACTCCTGCTGAGGGCCCCTGCCGGAGGCACACCCAGCTCAGCTGCCTCACCGGACAGCTCCCCCCCGACCGCCTCTCCCGAGCCTCCCCTGGAGCCTGCTGGGCCGCAGTGCCCCGCTGCTGAAGCTCCAGGCAGCCCTGAGCCACCCGCCAGCCCCCCCAGGGCCACCGCCAGCCCTGAGCCCCAGGAGCCACCAGCCTCTTCCGGCACCGAGAGGCAGGTGACCAACAAGGTGAGTCTGGACGAAGGGCAGGGACGCCCCCCAGAGGCGCTCCTCCAAGTGTGTGCGTCGGGGTCAGGCCCTGCCTGTGCTGTGTCTCCCCTGCAGCTCCTGCCTGGTCCCACAGAGCCCCCTGCTGCCCAGGGCCCTGCCAGAGGCCCCTCCGACACAAAGAGATCAGGTGAGGGTCCCAGCAGGGGCAGCGTAGCCTCCTCCTAGCCCCGCCTCTTTTTCCCTGCCTGCAGAATGGGCTCTTTTGCCATCACAGTTCCAGCTTCCAGGTCCGGGCAGTCCCTAAAACACACACACACCCCACACTGCTCCTGGGGTGTCCCCGCCCCTGAGCAGGCCCACCCCCGCCACCGTGGCCAGAGGCCTCCCTGCAGCCTTGAAAGGCAACGGGCCGCAGACACATTCTTCTCCCCAATAAGGGAGTGCGCCCATCTCCCAGCTGGAGCCATGGGCAGCACTGGCCTGGGGGGGGGGGGGGGAGGCTGGCCCCATCCCCATCGGCAGGGAGGATCCGGGCACCCCTCCTGTAGCCCGAGCCTTGCTCTGGCCCCCAGGAGCGTCCAAGTCATCTTGGGGTCAGTGCGGGAGGGGTAGGAGGGGCCGGGAAGAAAGAGGCAGCTGAATGGGAGAATACCCCAGAGCCTTGAGGTATGCAGGAGGGGTGGGAAGGCCCCCCCCACCTACTCTCCTTCATCTTCCCCCGACATGGCTGCCGTCCGCTCCCCAACCTGCCAGACCCAGCCGGACCCCGACCCTGCCAACGCTCCCTGTCCGTGCTCAGCCCCCGCCAGCCAGCCCAGAACCGAGGTACCACCCCGCCCCCACTCCCCCAGGCTCTGGGCAGCCCCTGTCCCACCCGGCCGCTGACAGCCCTCCTGTCCCTTGCAGAGCCCACCCCCCTTGCCACCGGACCTTCCCCGTTCCAGCGGGCTGGCTCTGTGCGGGACCGCGTCCGCAAGTTCACATCCGATTCTCCCGCGACTGCCAGGCTCCAGGACGGCCCACCCCAGGCTGCCCTTGGTCCCCAGACCCCTGCGAAGCTCCTGGGCCCCTCCCTCATCAGCACCACCCCTGCCTCCTCCTCCAGCGGCTCCTCCTCTCGGAGCCCCGGTGGCAACACCTCCTCCCGGTTCAGCAAGGAGCCACGAGGCATAGCTCGGCCCCTGGCCCAGCTTCAAAGCTGCCCCCGAGAGGAGGGCCCTCAGGGGCGGGGCTTGGCTGCCAGGTCCCTTGAAAACAGAGCAGGGGGGCCCGGGGCCTGCTCAGAGGAGCCCAGTGCCCCGCAGCCCGTGGCTGTCGGCACTGCTGCCGAGCCCGGGGGCAGTATGAAGACCACATTCACCATCGAGATCAAGGATGGCCGTGGCCAGGCCTCCACGGGCCGGGTCCTGCTGCCCACGGGCAACCAGAGGGCAGGTAGGCCTCCCCCCGCCTCCCACTGCTGCAGCCGCCTAGCTCGGCACCGAGGACAGGTGCTGCAGCCAGGGGCTCAGGGTGTCTCCCAGGGGTGTGCTGGGAGCAAGGGGGTGCCATTGACCTTGGCTGGCACCACTCTCACCCTACCCGATCCTGACCCCAGCCCTTCTCCCCGCCCAGAACTGACGCTGGGGCTGCGGGCGCCCCCCACGCTCCTCAGCACCAGCAGTGGGGGCAAGAGCACCATCACCCACGTCAGCAGCCCCGGGACCCTGACCCGGCTGGGCAGTGTCACTCATGTCACCAGCCTCAGCCATGCCTCCCCCGGTAACCGAGGAGGCTACAGCTTCAAGGTGAGCCCTGCTCTGACCCCCCAGCCAGTCTCACCATCTGTCAACCCCCAGAAACCGCTTCACAGCGGCTAAGGCTAGGAGGTCCCTCTGCTCCGCTCACCTCCTGCTACACACACAGAGAAACTGAGGCCCAGAGATGGGAGGTGGCTGCCCACGGTCCACGGCCAGTTGGTGGGTGCCAGCGGGTCAGCCAGCAGGCACGTCAGAACCTCACTCTGTACTGACCTTGAACTTCCCCCCTGCTGATCTGTGCTCCTCACTCCAAAGTTGGTTGGCTCATTCCAAATGAACAGACGGGAATACTGAGGCTCACAGGGGGTGGTGGGAGTTTGCCCCTGTCTTCTGGTGGTAGCCCCAGGACCCCCGCTCCTGCCCCCCACTGGACACCAGCCCCAAGGTATTAGAGGCGCTCATCTCCACCATCCCAGATCAGCCCAGCCCATTAGAGGATTGGAGATTAGCGATTAGCATCTGCGTCAACCTCCGTGTGGGGGCTGGGCCGAAGTGCTGATGGGGGGACAGGCAGGCTGGGGAGGGGGGTGCCGATCAGGTGAGGCAGCAGGCCAGCAGGTACCAAGGGAACTGAACACCTCGCACCCTTCCATTATTCATTCCCGAGCCCAGGATCAACTGGCTGGGAGCCCAGCTGGGGAGGGAACCCCCTGTGGGCTGCCCGGCTACCCAGGTAACCTCCCCAGGGAGACCTGATGGGGCTTTGGCTGAAGTGAGAGGGCTGGAGCTGGCTTTGGGCCTTCCCGGGGGTGACACAGGGAGAGTGTGAGGGTAAGACAGCCCCCAGTCCTCCAGCAGAGATGCGCCCTGCTCTTCTCTGCCAAGGGGTTCGGTGGGGTGGGGAGAGCAGCTGAGACCCTGGGAGTGGATGGGAGGTGCCGCAGTGAGAGACTGGGGTCTGACGCTGCAAACTTGCCTCAGTTTCCCCATCTAGAACCAAGGGGAAGCAGATGTGATATTCCTGTAATGCACTCGCTCAGAGTCTGTGCTTGAATCTGAGCCCCTGGGACGGGCTAGAGGACTTTTCTCTCGGTGCGAGACGCTGGCTGCAGCCGATCGCCCCGAGTGCCTGCGCCTCCGGGTCCCCCGTCTGTTGACAGCTTTCAAAAACAACAAGGCGTGAGGGCAAGGGAGCCCTGCAGCTAATAGACTTGGTGGCTTGGACAGGCCCCATTCCCCCGCTCCCTGCCTCAGTTCCCCCACCTGCGAGGCATGGGGCTGTGGTCCCGGTAATCCTGCCAAGAATCCAAGTGGCTTTGCCACGCTGCAGGTCTGTGGTCTCTGCAGGGCCAGGGCCGGGCCTGGCGGTCCGCCTGCTTGGACAGGCCACCCCTCCCCCACTGTCCCCTCCTCGGATGAGCCCAGAATAGGTTTCTATTTGGGCCGCAGTTCCAGCTGGCTGGTGGTGGGCTGGGAGGCCGGCAGGGGCGGGGCAGGCCCGCTGCCCTTGCCTTCGCCCTCGGACCAGCTACAAAGACTCCAACACTGCCAGCCAGAGGCAGCAGCCCCTGCCACTATCCCACCGTTACGGACCCCCCTCGTAGAATCCCCCACCAGCGCTATGCCGGGGGTCCCAGGGCCTGGGCCTGAGCTGGCCGCAGCCCTGGAGGAGCGGTTGGGCCGGGCCTTGGAGGAGCTGCGGGCGGTGGCTGAGGCTGGGCGAGCAGCAGTGACCCAGGCAGCCCAGGCAGCAGCGGCCACCGTGGAGCCAGTGGCCCGGGCAGCCGAGGAGCTGCGGGTGGAGACAGCGGCCCTGAGCCGGCGGCTGGACGCACTGAGCAGGCAGGTGGAGGTGCTGAGCCTACGGATGGGGGTCCCTCTCGTGCCCGACCTGGAGCCTGAACTGGAGCCCAGCGAGCTGCTCCTGGCTGCTGCCGACCCCGAGGCCCTCTTCCAGGCCGCTGAGGATGCCGGGACCCCCGTGGCCCACCCGCCTGCCTTCAGCACCCGCCGCCGCTCCTCCAGCGGCCCCGCCCGCAGCAGCAGTCTCGTAAGTCAGCCACGCTGAGCGGGTGGGAGGGAGTGGTTTTGAGCCAGGCTCTGCCTCTGCTGGGTGCCCTTAGACGTCCCATCACCTTCTCTGAGCCTGTACAGAGGACTGGGGCGCTCGTACTCCAAGGCTAGGGAGAGAGGATGCCAGGTTCCGGCCCCGAGGCACGCGTGGCAGCTGCCCTGGCAGCCCCTTCGCCTGACCCAACCCCCAGCCCCACCTCCTCGCCCCCACCCCAGCCAGGACGAGCCTCCCCGGGACAGCTGCCACCTCGGCTCTGCTTACCCCGACAGCAGATGGAGAGGCCCTGCCAGGAGGGGAGGGGCTGTGGGAGTTGGGTTGGACCCTTGTCTGCAGAGATGCCCCCTGGAGGGGGTAGGGGGCTGGGCTAGAGGCCCCCTGGAAGAAGGTTCCAGCAGGACAGGACTGGGGGTGGGGACGGAGGTGGCACAGAGGAGAGTTTCAGAGAAGTCTTGGCTCGGGGTTGCCCTAGTCAGACACCTGGTCAGGAGCCTAGGGCCCGGGTCCAGGCTGCTTGGCAAGAGGGGGTGGGGTGTGCGCTGCCCGGGCACTGGCCCAGGAGGACCCAGGCCTTGGGAACTGGCAGGACAGAGCAGAACCTGCCTGGGAGGGGGCTGGGGCTGGAGCAGCAGCAGGAACTCAGGTTTAGGAGCCGGGCCCCCTTCAGCTCGGCCCCCGGGCTGCTTCACACTTTGTGGAGGGACCCTGGGCACGGCGTCCAGTGGCTCTGAGCCTCAGTTTTTCCTTCTGTTAAATAGGGACACGTGAGCATAATCCCTAGTGTGTACATAACGCTTACCCCTGAACCGAAGCCATCCTTGTCGCTGTCCATTGCATGAATCTGATTCTGGGTACAGGAGAAACCCTATGGCCAGGCTGTCAGTGTTCACCATCCCTGGGCAGGTGGGAGGGCCACTGGTTGTTTCCAAGGCTGTGCCAGCAGCCTTGGTATCCATGGTAGGCGTGGTGGGGTTCACCTGGACCCCTGCTTTAAAGTGCAGGCCCTCCCCCACCCCGCCCCACAGATGGAGCCAGAGCCAGCGGAGCCCCCCTCCGTGGCCGTGGAAGCAGCCAATGGCACAGAGCAGACCCGGATGGACAAAGCACCAGAGGGGCGGACCCCACTGAGCGCCAAGGAGCTGATGGCTATCGAGGATGAAGCAGTCCTGGACAAGATGGTATATGGCCGGGGCTGGGGGGCAGGAACCAGCAGGCCCTGGGTGGGCGGTGACAATGGCTCTGCCGTCTGCAGCTGGATCAGACCACGGACTTTGAGGAGCGGAAGCTCATCCGAGCCGCGCTACGTGAGCTCCGACAAAGGAAAAGAGGTAGAGAGCCGAGTGCCCTGCCCTAGAGCCAGCTACTCCATTCCCTCCAGCTGCTCCCTCCTCTGGGGCCCATTTGTGGACACTTCAGCTCAGTGGCTGCCCCATCCAGCTTCTCCTCTACTCCCAGCTGCTCCCCTGCCTTTTTTCCCTTGGATCCAGCTGCTCCCTTCCCTTAACCGCTTCTCTCCCCGTGCCCACCCCAGTTACTGTCCCCAACCAGCTTCTCCTTCCTAGACTCAGTTACTCCTTCCCTCAGCTACTCTCTCCTTAGATCCAACCATTTCCCCAAGTACTGTGAACTACTCCTTCCCTGGATCCAGATACTCCTTCTCCCAGCTGCTCCTCTCTCCCTGAGGGCCATCGACGGCCCCCTTAGCCTCTGCTCTCACCAGCTTCCCCTGTCCTGGGCACAGCTGTTCTTATTCTCAAAAATTCTAGATGCATTTGCTTCTCCCGACATGCTCAGTTACTCCCTCTCTGAATCCGGCTGCCGCCTCCAGAGCCCAGCGGTGGCCACACCAGTTCCTGTCCCTACCCACCCACTTCTTCTTGGGGCCAGTGAACATCCCTCCCCCGCTTCTCTCCCAGCTACTCTCCCTGGATGAAATGGCTCCTCAGTGCCACCAACGCCTCCCTCCCTGGACCTCCCTCCACCAATGCCTCCCTCCCTGGACCTGGGTTTCCCTTTCTCTCGCTGCACGCAGCCCAGCTTCTTCCCTAGACTCAGCTACTCCTTCCCTAGCCCTGGATACTCCTTCATGACAGTTACTCATTCCCCCTTGGGTCCCAGCACCCTTGTGGTGTCAGCCATTCTTATGCCCTGCTCTTCTGCCCAAGTCCCTAATGCCCTCCCAGCCCCCTTCCCTGCCAAATTATGGGGATCCCCTGAGCCCTAGCTGCTCCCAGAGAGGCCGTGTCGCCTGTGTCGTTGGCGGTTCTAACAAGCTGCCCCACCCCACCCTGTGTGCCCCGTGCGCCTGTGCGTATGTGCTGTGTGGGCGCTGGGCCGGTCCTCTTGGGCATGCACGGGGGTGTCCGCCACCCAGACCAGCGGGACAAGGAGCGGGAGCAGCGGCTGCAGGAGGCACGGGCCCGGCCAGGGGAGGGCCGAGGCAACACGGCCACTGAGACCACCACACGGCACAGCCAGCGGGCAGCCGATGGCTCGGCCGTCAGCACCGTCACCAAGACTGAGCGGCTCGTCCACTCCAGTAAGGGGCCAGGCGGGGCTTCGGGCCCGGGGTGGGGGGACGTGTCCTCCCCACGGACCCCCTGTGCCTCTCACACCCGCCCTCGTGTCCCCTGCCCCTCCAGATGACGGCACTCGGACGGCCCGCACCACCACGGTGGAGTCGAGTTTCATGAGGCGCTCGGAGAGTAAGGCCGCCGCCTGGCACGCCCTGCGCCTGTCTGCCTGCCTCTCGGCCTTCTCGGGTCTTTCTCAAGCTTGTCCTCTGTGCCCGCAGCTGTGCCATCACTTCCTCCTCTCGACCCGCGGCCAGCATCATCCCGCAGATCCCAGCTCCCTGTGCCTCACCCCTGCTCCCTGCCCCATTTTTTTTTTTTTTTCAGATGGCGGTGGCAGCACCATGGTGCAAACCAAGACCTTCTCTTCGTCCTCCTCCAAGAAGATGGGCAGGTGAGCCCGGCCACCCACACCTCAGGGGGACCACACTGCATACCCATTCTGCAGAGGGCCTGGTTGAGGGCCAGGGAGGGCTGAAACAGGAGTCAGCCCACTCCTGCCTGCTTGCTTTGTGACCTCACTTAATCCTCAACCACACTGGCGGGGGGAGGGGGAGGGAGGCAGACGCCCAGGGAGGCCCGAGACTTGTTCAGGGTCTCATGGCTCCGAGTGACAGCAGCGGCATTGAACCGGTGGCACTGTCACCTCCCGGGTCACAGAGCCTCTGCACAACGTAGCCCCTTGAGGGACGGGGACACCCCCATGTCGCAAAGGGTGTCGGGAGTGGCAGAGAGCGGGGATGAAATCAGGATCCAGAATGAGAAGCAGAGAGTCCAGGGACTGTGAGCCAGAGACCGGCACTCTTCCCCCTCCCCCAGGACCCCTGAGCTCTTGGACAATTCGTGCCCAGGCCTCAATTCCATCACCTTTGGTAGAAAAGTCTCGCCCTCCTCTTGTGAACTTTAAAATGTCACCCAGGAGAGGCTCAAGAGACAGGAGCTGCTATTATTACTGCCCTTAGTAGTAGTATGCTGGTTGTCAGTTTCACGCTGATAACGCACAGAATCCGAACTTGGCAACACGGAGAACTTGCAGGGGCCAGCCTGGTGAAGAGAGCCTGGCTCGCATTTTCCCTACCGCCTGAGCCTCAGTGTGTACCCTTTCTGTAAAATGGGTGTGATGCAGAGGCTGCCCCCTCCCTGGCCCTGGCTGTCCGGAGACTCTGCAGGGCGGGAGGGGGTCTGGCTGGAGAGTGACAGTGGCCGCCCCACCCCCAGCATCTTCGACCGCGAGGACCAGAGCAGCCCGCGGCCCGGCAGCCTGGCGGCGCTCGAGAAACGCCAGGCGGAGAAGAAAAAAGAGCTGATGAAGGCGCAGAGCCTGCCCAAGACCTCGGCGTCCCAGGCGCGCAAAGCCATGATAGAGAAGCTGGAGAAAGAGGGCGCCGCGGGGTGAGCGGCTGGGGCCGGGACCGTGGGGCGGGGCCTGGGGGCTTGGGGGCGGGGCCAGAGGCGGGACAAAGCGGTCGAAGGCCACGGACGGCAGGGTGGGCCCCAGAGAGGGGGGCATGCTGCAGTCTTGTGACCGGGTCCTGCCCCCACCCCGCCCCCTCCGCAGCAGCCCGGGCGCGCCCCGCGCAGCCGTGCAGCGCTCCACCAGCTTCGGGGTCCCCAACGCCAACAGCATCAAGCAAATGTTGCTGGATTGGTGTCGCGCCAAGACACGTGGCTACGAGGTGAGCCCTGGGGGGCTCCTGGGGGCCCAGCAACCTGTCTATTGGCCATGCGCCTCACTCCGGGATGGGAGTGTGGGGTGAAGAAACTGAGGCACGGAACAAGTGACCTGAGTGGCAGGGCCCACTGAGGACCCCTTGAGGGAATGCGTGAAGTTCAAGGCCAGCTGCTGCCTAGGGGGAGGGGGTGCTGCGTGAATGTCTACACCTTGGGCACAGGTGGTGCTGGGTCTCTGGTTCCCACCGCCAACATCCCAGCCCGGGGGCGCTAACAGACTGAGTTGGAGGAGGCCCATAGGCCGGAGCCCGCTGTGCAGCCCGCAGGACCTCTCTGAGCCCAGCTGGCTCCCCAGGGTCCCCACCAGCCCCTCCTTCCACCGCCCACAGCACGTGGACATCCAGAACTTCTCCTCGAGCTGGAGCGACGGCATGGCCTTCTGTGCCCTGGTGCACAACTTCTTCCCAGAGGCCTTCGACTACGCGCAGCTCAGCCCCCAGAACCGGCGCCAGAACTTCGAGGTGGCCTTCTCGTCCGCTGAGTAAGTGCCTGCCCCAGCCCGGCTGGCGTCGGCTGGCCAGCCGCACTGTCAGTCAGCAGCTGAGATCCCCGTCCCCAGCGAGGCCCCGTGTCCGTGTCCTCCTCCGCCCCCGCCCACCCGCTGCCGAGTGCGCCAGGTGCCCGCCGGAACCAAGGAGCCGCGGGCCCGCCTACCAGCCGAGGCCAAGGCCCACCAGGTGGCCCTGTCCATATCCCCTCCGTCCTCCCTCCGCCCCCCCATCTCCCTCTCTCCCTCTCTCTGTCCTGTTCTCCTCCCACTCCCACTAGAGCTTCCTGCTCCCACGGGACCCCGGCTGGAGATTCCAAAAGGAGGCTCCTGGCCCGGGCACCGTGCCCGCCCAGCCTATATAGATGCCACCAGTGGCTTATATAGGACATCCGCAAGCCCTCCACTTTGGAATCGTTGCCCCGTCTGCTCACCTCACCCTCAGCACCCTCCTCCGTCTGTCTTTCTTTTCCCCCTCTTCTCTTTCTGGTTCCCCCCAGACCTCCTCCTCTTCCCCCACCTCCTCTCACGCCTCCCTCACCCCCCCTCCCCGGGGCACAGCCCTCCTCTCCAACCTTGGTGCCAACGCCCTCGCCCCCACCCCACCCCCCCGTTCCCGCTTGCCCCGAGAGTTCTCTGCACCTGCGACTGGTTTGGCCCCACCCCTGTCTGCATCGCACACCGTTAGTGATGGGTAGTGAGCGGCACGTCCACTGTCGGAGGGGAGGGGGCATGCGGGGGGGTGGCTGGCAGACTGCGGCACTGAGAACGGAACTGAACTCATGTCTCTGTGTGTGTGTGTGTGTGCGTGTCTCTCTCTCTCCTCCTCCTCCTCCTCCTCCTCCCCGCTCTCTTCTCTGCCTCTCTTCCCCGACCGGGCCCTGCCCCCTGCCCCTTCCCGGTCCCCTACCCTCCCCAGGACCCATGCGGACTGCCCGCAGCTCCTGGATACAGAGGACATGGTGCGGCTTCGAGAGCCCGACTGGAAGTGCGTGTACACGTACATCCAGGAGTTCTACCGCTGTCTGGTCCAGAAGGGACTGGTAAAAACCAAAAAGTCCTAACCCCCGCTCGGGGCCCCACGGTGAGAAACGCCGCCTCTCCCACCTGCCCCCACTGCACCGGCATCTGCTCAGCGGGGCACAGCCAGGGCCCTGGGAGTGGGGCGGGGCGGGGGGGCGGGGAGAATGGGGAGCCTTAGGAAAGCCAGCGGAGCCAGACGTGGCCCTGTCCTGTAGCGGTTCAGGGCCTAGCAGGTGAGACTGTTCTGAACGTGCAGGATGAGCCCAATAAGCAGGACTGAGGGAACCCTGGAAAGCCCTGGGAGCCCAGCGGGCACCTGACCCAGGCCATCTGGAAAAAAAAGTACAGACCAAGCCAGGATCTGAACAAGCTCAAGCCAAAGGAGGGAGAGGGAGTTCCAGGCAGAGGTCGGCCTGTGCACAGGGCCAGGGGCCAGAGATGGAGAATATGGCCAAGCAGGCAGAGAAGGGCTGGAGTCTGGGCGTGGGGGTGGAGGCAGGGGCCACCGTCAGGAATTTAAATTTCCTTCTGAAGACAACAGGGTCATAAAAGGTTTCCAAACAGGAGCGATGGGTGTAGTCAAGTCAACGTTCTAGAACATTCCTTGGATGAGACCTGGGATGAACTAGATGGCCAGAGCAGTGTAAAAAGTAGGAAGACAAGCATCCTGACAGATCTGGTTTGGACAGGACGAGGAGGGGATCAGGAAGCCTCCCAGGCTTCCTGGTTGGGCACTGCGAGTTGGTGGTGCCATGGTCCAAACCGGGGAGCTCAGGGGTGGAGCCACTTCGGTCAACAGGAAGACGTTTCTCCTGGCTGGAGGGGCCTGGATCCCCAAGCTGCCCGTGGTGTTTCCTCTCCGGTCACCTCCTCTCTGGGCCAGGGTAGAGAGTTCAGCCCCTGAACTACTTGTGCATTACCGACACACAGCTCAGAGGGGGAGCGAGGTGGGGAGGGGGGTGAGGGCAGAGACGGACCCCCAAACTGGGACTCTAGACTCCCCACTCGGTAGCTCCTTCCCTTGCCCCATCCCTCTTTCCCCCAACCCATACTGTGAAAAGTATTAAAAACCAAAGTCCAGAGGGAGCAAGGGGATTGCACCAAGTACTAGAGTCCGGGACAGCATAGCTAGAGGTGCAACGGAGATGCCCCTCAGGGCCTGGAGCCATTGCACAGAGCAGCCCCCGCATACACCGGATACTCACAAGAGCGGTGCAGGTGAGGGGAGGATGGGCTTGGTGTTCTGTCCGGGTCATATATGGACTTAGGAGCTGCTGCCCAGCAGGCTGGCCGGCGGGGAGAGGGGCCCAGCCTAGCTTTGATCCCTTTGGAAAGTGTGACTCAACCGCGATGTTGCCGGGTGTTTGGCCTGTCACTGGGGCAGCCTGAGCCCTAAGCCGTGCGCCCCGGTGTAAACAATGGCTTTATAAGGTCTCCGGGGAAGGCACCAGGGTAGGAGGGAGTTCCAGGCTGGGGGAGGGAGGCCGGGGTTCCCGGGAAGACAGCCACAGCTGGAAGAAGCTTCAGAGAGACAGAGGCTGCCTCGGTGTTGTGGTCAGCTGGGGCAACAAGCCCGTTCCAGGGCAGGGATGACCCCAAGGGTACCCAGCACATGAGCAGCACAGCCAGGAACCTCAAGTGTCTCCATGGTCTTAAATGAAGCCGAGGATGACGCCACTGTTACAAACAAGCAGACTGAGTCACTGGACAGGCCAAGGCCTTATCTACCATCTACAGCTGTTCAGGGCTACCGCAGAGGTTTCCTTGAGGGAGCCCCTGGGATCTGGCCGTGGGCCCCGCCCTACCCCAGTGCCAGGTTTGATCGCGCAGGTAGCGGATGGGAAGTGGTCCTGGGCTGTTGCCTGCCCTGTGCCTTCCCCGCCAAAGGAAACTCATTCAGCAATCCTGAGAGCTGGGAGAGGCCAGCAGGGAGCCAGGGCGGAAGAGAGGTCTTGCAGCTGGTGGGCAGGCTCCAGCTTCGCAGCACCGAGGCTGCTCGTGTTTGGTGGCCACATCCCTCTCACCCCACAGTGGGGAGGGGGGCTCCAGGCAGGGGTCGCCAGGCCCAGCCCTGCAACCTGCTGAGTCCAATGACTGCAGCCTAGCTAAAGCACAGCGGGTGGTCCACTGAGGCTGGTGTAAATGACTGGGCCCCTCCCTCCTCTGCCTCCCCCTGCGCCCCCCTCCCACAGCCCTCTGGGACCAGCGCTGGGGTTCCTGAGCCTCATGATAGTAGACACCAGGTCAGGCAGTTGGCAGCTAGTATCAGTGGCCCAGAAGGTCAGTGCGGGGGGTGGAGGGATGCCTGGCCCTGGAGAAAGATTTGGCAATGGGGAAGCCTCTCTGGGGGCGGCGGCCCCTACCGACAGCAGTGTGAGGGTGCCGCTAAGCAGGAGGCAGCCCTCCAGGGAAATCGTTGGGCTGGGAAGAGCCGGACTTGGCACCTGTTCCGACATCCGTGGGGCAGGGCTTTTTCTGAAAGCTCCACCTGCCTAGCTAGGCTCTCCCCTCCTGGGGCTGGGGCCTTGGGCTTTTCCCCTAGTGGATGAGAGAGCAACAGAACCACCACCATCACCAAAAAAAAAAAAAAAGACCTGGGGTCGAGGGGCGCCGCCAGGGGCGGGGCCGGCGCTGACAAAGCCCGCCCCGCCCCGTGCCCCCTCCCCGCAGGATGCTGGTGGACTGCGTGCCCCTGGTCGAGGTCGAGGACATGATGATCATGGGCAAGAAGCCCGACCCCAAGTGCGTCTTCACCTACGTGCAGTCGCTCTACAACCACCTGCGGCGCCACGAGCTGCGCCTGCGCGGCAAGAACGTCTAACGCGCCCCGCCCGCGGCCGGCCACCGCCCCCCACCCTCCCGGCACCGTCCCCTCCCCACCCAGGGAGCCTGCCCACTGCCGCCCCGTCTGTCGCAACACCCTCCCCCGCCTACACACGCAGCGTTTTGATAAATTATTGGTTTCCAGTGATCCGGATTCCTCTCTACCTCTCTTGGGGAGGGGGCAGGGTTTGGATGAAGGCCCCGCCCCCAACAGCCGCTCTCACGAGGGGTGGGGGGCTCCCGCTCCGACCTCCTACCCAACCTGCCCGCGGCAAGGAAGGGAGTCCAGCCTCAGTCAGGGCGAAAGAGATTTAGTGGAGCTGGGGGAGGAAGCAAGGGGGGTTGGGAGGAACCCCCCCACTCCATTCCTGCTGGCCCGGGGGACGGGGCGTCGGCCCTCAGCAAGGGAGGGGGCTCCCGGGATGCTGAGCGCTTCATCGTGTCTCCCGGGGTTCAGGTCGAGTGGCCCCGCTCGCTCCGCTGCGCCCCGAGATCTACAGGTCGGCGCGGTCCGGGCTCTCTTCTGGGGGCTTAGCGGGCGCCCACAAGTACTGGGCCGGCACCTGCGCGTCGGGCGCCGTCTTGCGGTAGAAGCCGAGCTCCTGCATCAGCGCGTTGATCTCTTCGCGGGTCATTTCACTAAGCGGGATGCGCTGGGGCGGGGAAGGGGGCGTGGTCAGCGCGCTGGGTCCCGCCCCCTGCCCGCCTCCCCCCACCCCCTCCGCCCCGAAGCCTCACCTCCAGTTCTTTGTAGCGGTGGTCCAACAGCACGAGCTCGGGGTCGGCGCCTGGGAGGTGTTTCATCACCAGGTTGTGGCTGCAGGAGGTGTTAAGGATGGGGGGGGGACAGGGACGAGGGGGCTCCGGCCTGGATGTCCACTCCGGCTAAGTGGGGATTAGGGTCAAAGCGGCGTGGGTCTGCCTCTCCCGTTCTGTGGCAGTCATCACTAACCAATCTCTCCTGCCTACCCAGTCTGCAGACCCCTCCGAATTCCCTGTCTCCCGGCGCCCTCCCCAGAAGGCGACAAGGATACTAGTATGGGATGTCCTGGGTGACGAAGGCCTTCACCTAGGGAGGAGCCAGAGAATCAGGCCACAGGGCGCCCACCCTCACCCCCCAGGGACAGATGGGAACCCGAGTAAGGGTCAGGCTCCTGACCGCACCCCACCCCCAAGTCCTTGCAACCATGGTGCCCACTCCCCAAGAGGCTGGGCAGGGCAGCGCTGGGGGGCCCCCTTCCTTCAAACTCACCTCCTTTAGGCGGTTCAGCTGTCATCCGCCGCAGCTCTGCAAGGGGAGCAAATGAGAAAGGCCAGGTGCCCCTCCCCGCGACCCTCCGAAAGCCACTGTATCCTCAAACCCAGGGAGGGTCCAGTTATGAATTTATCTCTGGAACAGCTCTCCCCACAGTGTGAGGGGGCTGGCAGGGGTCCCTTCTGCGCCGATGGATGACCAGCCCAGTTGAGGGAATTCAGGCTTGGTGACACGGGGGGTGGGGGGTGGGGCCGCAGGGAAGTGGGTGGGCCTTGCCCCCAAACTGCTGACTCTCTGCCAATACATCTGGGCCTGGCCTTTGGCCCCTAGAGCCTCAGGGTGGAGGCGGATCAAGAAGAAATGGCTCTGAATGGCCCCTACCCCCCCCCCCCCAGAGACTCCAGCCATCTGGTCCCTGCCCCACCCCACGCAGAGCTGGCCCTGCCTGCCACCTGCGGCCTAGACCCACAGACCATATGGCTGCTTGTTGACCCGGGCGTGTGGAAGGCCCCTCCCTGCACTCCCACAGAGGAGGCCAGGACCCCAGGACTAGCCAGTCCAAGCCTCCCCAGCCCACCCGCATTTGTCAGACCAAAACAGGCCCACAAGGAAGGCGCAAAGTCACAGGGGCCATGGAAGCAGAGACTTTGCAGGCGGGTGAGGAGCTGCTGCCCAGGGGTGTCAGTTCCCTGGATCCTGCTAGGAGGCGCCCAGAAATTCTGGCCCCCAGGGGGTAAGAGAGACTCCCAGGACTCCTCAAGCCCTAGGGTTGGCATGGGGGGGTGGAATTCCCGGGAAAAGCAGGAGTGATGCGAAGCTGCGCTCCAAGAAGCAGGCTCGGGAGAGTCCCAGGCCCCTTTAGAGGGCCAACGTGTCTGGGAGCTCGCTGACCTGCCAGATGGGGAGCTGGAGGAGGCTTCGGAGTTTCAGGCCTTAGGGTCGGGTGTGCAAGATTTTCACCAGGGGGTACTAGGCATGCGGGGAGGGGGGGGGGCGGAGGGGACGGTCCCGGCGCCGGAGGGAACGGTGGGAGGGGAAGCGGGATGATCCCAGAGCCATGTGGCCGCAGGACAGGGAGGCCCTGATGCTCCGGGCTGGGGGTCGGCGCACTCACCTCTACCCGGGCCCGGGCCAGGCCGCGCAGGCGGCCCCAGTCCGGCCAGTAGGTCCTGGCGGCGGTGGCTGGAGCCACAAGCGCCGCGAGGAGCAGCAGCAGCAGCGGCGGCGGCGGCGCTGGCGGAGACAGCAAGAGACGCATCGGTTCCCGGCGGAAGCTCCTCCGTAGGCTGGAAGCGAACCACCCGGCCGCTGCGCCACGTCTGGCCCCGCGGACTGGCCCCGCCCCAGCCCCCGCCCCCGCCCCCGCCGAGACCCCGCCCGGCAGGAGGCCACGCCCCCCGCCCCGGGCGCTCGGTCTCGGCCCCGGGGATTCGCGCGGTCGCCTCCTTGGTGGGGGTCCTGGCTCCAGTCTGGCGCTCGGGCCTTCGCCCTCCCGGTGCCGAGACTGTCCTCGCTGCGGCTGCCCAGTGCCGGAGGACACGCTTGCTGCAGCGGGCAGCCGGACGGCGCCACCTCTCGCCGCCAGGGGGTGCAGGCGGGACGCGCACCAACCCGGGAGTTTGTGGGCCAGACCCGCTACTTGAAGATGAGTTAAAGGGGTGCCTGGGGGGAGCCCTGGTTTGTGCTTTTTTCAGTTCCTGGGAGGAAATTCCGACCGAGGTTTGCGATTCAGGGCTTACATGGTGGAGATGGAAGTGTCACCTGCGCCGTGGGCACGGGGAAGCTGAGGGGCCAACAGCACACACACAGCCCACTGGAAGGGTGCCTGGCATAGCGTCAGCCTTCGTTGTTGGTCACTTCCTTAGCTCCTTGAGACCCCGTGAGCTCCGTTCTGCAGGCTCAGGCCGGTGAGGGGATCTGAACCCGGGACGTCTCTGGGCTGATTTCTCCAGACCGAGGGTGGCTAAGTCAGGCTGCCCGTTCTTTTCCTGCTTCCCATCTGTAGAACGCACCAACCTGGGATCCAAAATATTCAGAAAGGGGCCAGCCTCATGGTGCATAGGGTTAAGCCACCACCTGCCACTCCAGTATCCCATATCCTGGTCCCGATGTTCTACTTCGTACCCAGCTCCCTGCCAGTGACCTGGAGAGGCAGCAGATGTTGGCAGGCAGGTGCTTGGGTCCCTGCCACCCACGTGGGAGACCCGGCTGGAGTTCCTGGCTCCTGGCTTCAGCCTGGCCCAACCCCAGCTGTTATGGCCATTTGGGGAGTGAACCAGCAGACGTAAGATCTCTGTCGGGTCTCTCTGTCACTCTTCCTTTCAAATAAATAAATATATCTTAAAATATATATATTCAGAAGAAAATTGCATCGGTACGGAACGCGTACAGACTTGCTTCTTGTCATTATTCTCTGCACAATGCCGTGTGACGTCAATATACATTGCATTTATATTAAGGGACTTGTGCATCCTCTGGTTTGGGGGGAGGATGTCCTGGGATCCATCCCCAACCTGTACACGGAAACACTGTCAATCAGTGAGCTCTTCCTCGCTGAATCTGGAGTTTTCCTCCACACTGAGCCAAGGCTGTGCTATGATGTTAGTGGATCCTATGCATTTTTGTCTTCCTGGGCCTCCTCCTTGACTTAAAAAGAAAAAAAAAAAAGATGTTAAAAATTGGGTGTTACAACTGCTTTGGTAAAAAGATTACTATAGGGGGCTGGTGCTGTGACATAGTGGGTAAAGCTGCCACCTGGAGTGCCAACATCATATATGGGCGCTGGTTCAAGTCCCGGCTGCTCCACTTCTGATCCAGCTCTCTGCTATGGCTTGGGAAAGTAGTGGAAGATGGCCCAGGTCCTTAGTCCCCTGCACCTGCGTGGGGAACCCGGAAGAAGCTTTTGGCTCCTGATCGGCACAGCTCCAGCCATTGTGACCTTTTGGGGAGTGAACCAGCGGATGGAAGACCTCTCTCTCTCTCTCTCTGCTTCTGCCTCTCTGTAATCCTGCCTTTCAAATAACTAAATTTTTTAAAAGTAATCTATTGGCTCAAATAATGATAGAGAAGTCTGGTGGCAGCGAGAGTTTCAGGTGGAGTTAGAGCCAACTGAAGGAGCCACCAAGACCTGGCCTCCGTCCACTCTGCTTTCCATGATGTCAGCTTATGGGGGCCCATTACCTACGTGGTGGCCGGAAGAGCAGAAGCAGGATTCGCAGCCCCTTCACCCACACCGGCAGGAGCTATGCTCATCTTTTTGGTAACCCCCCCTCAATAGAGAAAACAAGTTTTCCTTCCCAAAGTCCTCAGCAAGTGTCTCCGACGGTTTGTCCATGATCCAATCACGTGCCTTCAGGGGTGGGCATTACTCAATGGCTTGACCAATTGGGTTCGGCTGTGGGTGGGTGCCATTGTATTCCTGTTCCTGTTCAGTTCCAATGCATAGATGGCAACACAGTAGCCAACCAATTTTATAAAATATGCACTTAGACCAAAAATAATTTTAAAAAAATAATAATAACCGAGTAAGAGACAATCCAAAGGTCAAAATGCTCACCTTTTGGTCAATTATTAATTATAAGTGACTTTTTTTCTCCTTGACACTTTTTTCTGTATTTTCTATAATAAGCATGTTTTGCTTAAATATAAATAGTGAAGTTTGTTTACAAACATCACAGGACCCGTCCCATTGGTTCCCTGTGCCCCCATCCCGCCCAAGCAAGGACCCCAGCGCGACTGAAGCCAGATGCCCCACAAAGCTTGTGGTTTTCCTGCTGAAAGAGCCAAGCCCCAGCGCCCCGTGGGCCCATATTGTTGGCTGGATGGATGCCACCAAACCACTCTCAATGCATTAACCTGGACACTGCGGCCTTTGGGCCCACAGCTGGGGCTGCTCAGGGTTGACCAACCAGCCAGAGGAACCAGCCGTGGAGACAGTGGCCACAATAGTGCCAGGAACATTCTGGCATTGTCCACATGGGAGGCTCAAGCTCTCCCAGGACAGATGTGTGCTCGTAACGCCGGCCCCTACTGTGGCAGCAGGTAATCTAGGCCAGCAGCCGTCCTCAGACTGCAAGCAGGACGGGCTCAGACAAGGTCAGGGTCAACCCTCAGCTGAAGCGCAGATCTGCAACTGAAATTAGAGCTCAGCTGATGACTGGGCTTAGTCTTCAGTCTGCGACCAGGATCAAGGCTCAGTATGCAACAAAGGCAGAGACTCAGTCAGTTACCAAGTTTAGGATTCAGCCTTTGACCAGATTCAGGGCACAATATGAGATCAGGGCTCAGTGTGTGACCACAGTTTACAAGAGCCAGGGTCAGAATTCGATCTGAGGGGGGCCAGCATTGTGGCCTAGCTGATTAAGCCACTGCCTGCAACGCCAGCATCCCATATGGGTGCTTCTTCAAGTCCTGGTTGCTCCATTTCTGATCCAGCTCCCTGCTAATGTGCCTGGGAAAGCAGGGGAGGGTGGCCGAAGTCCTTGGGCCCTTGCACCCAAGTGTGAGACCAGGAAGAGGCTCCTGGCTCTTGATATCAGTCCAGCCCAGCCCTGGCTGTTGTGACCATTTTGGGGGTAAACCAGTGAATGGAAGATGTCTCTCTGTTTCTCCTCTCTCTGTAACTGTGCTTTTCAAATAAGTAAAGAAGGCTCAGTCCGTGACCAAGATCAGGGGTCAGTCTAAAACAAGAATGAGTCTGGACTGAGGTCAGGGTCCAGTGTGTGACTGGGGCTCAGTCTTAGGCTAGGATCGGGGCTCAGTCAAGATCCAGAATGCAGGTCTCCAGTTGAGATCAGACCTACTCGGGCTAGGATCACAGCTCATCTGTAGACAGTGGTTGGAACTCACTCTAGAGCTGGCATGAGATTAGGGGTCAGTCAACACCGAGAGTATGGCTCAGGTTGGGTCTGGGATCAGGGACATGACCAGGGCTATGCTGAAAAAAACCTGGCATAAGAGAATTGGCAGCTGGCGCTGCGGCTCACTAGGCTAATCCTCCGCCTAGCAGCGCCGGCACACCGGGTTCTAGTCCCGGTCGGGGCACCAGATTCTGTCCCGGTTGCCCCTCTTCCAGGCCAGCTCTCTGCTGTGGCCAGGGAATGCAGTGGAGGATGGCCCAAGTACTTGGGCCCTGCACCCCAGGGGAGACCAGGATAAGCACCTGGCTCCTGCCATTGGATTAGCGCGGTGTGCCTGCCACGGCGGCCATTGGAGGGTGAACCAATGGCAAAGGAAGACCTTTCTCTCTGTCTCTCTCTCTCACTGTCTCACTCTGCCTGTCAAAAAGAGAGGGAGAGAGAGAGGAGAGAGAGAGAGAGAGAGAGAATTGGCTACCAAAGCCTAGAGACTGAAGAAGCAGGATCAATCCAAGGTTACACAGAATGTGATTTATTAGGGGAGGGGCTTATAGACAGAAACAAGACAATGGATCCCCATGCCACAAGGCAGGAGGAAAAAGTGCTTTGTATGTAGATAAGGGCTATTCGGGCTCCCCTAAGCGAACCAGGACTTTCTCTAAGGGACACTCCAGAGTCCCAGCTGGCACAAAACACCTGCCAGGTTACCTTAACCACTTCCTTTAGCCCATCACGTTTGGGATGACCACCACAGCTACCTAAGGGACAAGATGGTGGTTACGACCAAGGTGCCTGTGGTCACGTGGAGGAGCTGAGTCCCTGTGAGGGCTCCATGCTCAAGTCTGAGCTCCACAAATGAAGTTTCTGGTAACATGGCCCCCCAGGACAGGTCAAGTTGCAGGAAATGAGACTCCCCTTCCTCCACCCCCAACCCGTCCCTGGTGGAGGGGGGATCTCAGCTCAGCGGGGTCTGGTCCCTGCAGTAAGCGTCCCCTTGTCTGCTAAGGACCTGTGTCCTGCAGCCTTCTAACCTACCTGCTTCTGCTGCCTGGATCCCCTCACGCCAGCATAAAAATAGCCACTCACTCCACAGCAGCTGACAGCGAGTGCCGGCTGCCTGGGAGGAGGGGAGCCGAGGAGAGAGACTGGATGCCAGAGCTCAACCCCAACTGTATGACCTTGGCAAAGTCTCTCCCCCCTCCAGTCCACTGCCCGAGAGGCAGAATTGGGACCCAGGACGACACCTGCCCCAGAGGGTGGGGACGAGGGCCCAGTGCATCCCATGGACCCCGATCGATCGGGATGCTTGAAGCCAAATCTGGGGAGAAGCGGTGGTCTTTGGCGTCTTCCTCAAGGAAGCCCTGGCTGGGGGCTGATCCCTTCCACCTTCCCACAGCATATCTCGTGGGGTCCTCTACAGCTTTCCAGATGATTCCCGGGAAGTGGATCAGGGGGCCCAGGGAGGGAGAGGGGAGCCCAGACCCTCCTGTGCTACTGCCAGCCTCGGCTGCTCCTGGAAGGAGGGAGGAAGAGGAGGGGAAGACGGGAGAAAGAAGGACTCCACTGCCTTCCCCGTTCAGGATGCGTTTGCTCGGAGCCGAGTGCAGAGGGCGCACGTCCAGATGCTGCATCTTTTCACAGCCGGGACCTGCACACCCCAGACCTCTGTCCCTGCTCTTCCTTCTGCTTCTCAGAGAGCTGCTTGTTTTGGGATTGGCAACAGGGACCTGCTTTCCAAGCAGGGGCTCAACGCTCCCCTCTTCTGCAGGGGACATTGATCTGCGACCTCGCCAGGAACCCAGTGCTCGGTCTTCTACTGCCTGTGTCTTCTATGGGCCTCAGTTTCTTCCTCTGTGCAATGGGGGCCTGCATTACCAACCTCACAGCATTGCTAGCTAGCGAGAGAGACTAGAATAAGAAGCTGTGAACTATGCGCCCCCCCCCGCCCCGCCCCACTCCCTAGCTTAAAGGGTAGCACTGAGAGATTCAACAAGGGGCGGATGAGCTGAGGGAACGGAGGGAGCCAGGAGGGGCCTCCGGAGACAGCCGTCTGCAGGGGGCGGTTCTCTCTGGCAGCTGCCCCCGGCCTGCCTGCCGCCCTGAGCCCCAGAGCCTGTTATCAGCCTCCTTAGTCATCACATCAGGAGCTCAAATATAGCTCCCACTGTTCCCCTCCGAGCCGGGGGTCCGCCCCCCGCCGCCCCCTTTCCCTTTCCTCCCAGGAATACAACCGCTCCAGGCCTCAGTTTCAGCATCTGCCAAATGGGCAGGCTGGAGACAACGATGATGATGGTGATGATGATGATGGTGATGAAGATGATGGTGATGGTGATGACGACGACAATGAAAGAGCAGCTAAGACCTTGCTCTTGCTGGGCTCTTTCTTGCTAATCTTCTTCACAGCAGCCACGTAGGACGTAGCTACGGTTTTCGTCTCCCTGATCCAAAGCAGGAGCCTAAAGTGGCCTCCTCCCCAAGTAAATCAAGTGACAGGGCCAGAAGCAAAGGCCCCTGTGGGATCTGAGCTCAGGGACTGGGGCATGATGGGAAGTCCCGGGAAGCTCCCCTGGGGCCCGAGGCATTCTCTGCTCACTCATTTTCTTATTTGCCTGGCTTCCAAAGACCATGGATGGCCCTGTCCCAGCCCCTGGGGGCTGAGCGCTAGGACTGGTCCCCAGGGCCTGGGTCCATTTCCTATCCCTTCCAGGGTTGCATCAGAAGCTGGGTGCTTTGTGGGGGTGGGCTCCGTTTTCTCACTTGTGAAATAGGAGTCAGCGGGCGGGGCAGGGTGAGTTGGACTCATCCTTCTCTCTTCTGGTGACCGGAAAGTCAGCATCAGGACCTCTCACGTCCTCCCTCCCTGTCACCTCCACCTCCTCCATCAACACAACATCCCCACCATCTCATGGGCCTCCATCCCCTCCCCGCCACCCATCCTCTGCACTGTCATCACCCCACCCTCTACCATCACCATGACTTCCACCAGCACTGTCAGGATGCCCCTTCCACTGTCGTAATTCGGGACACCATCACGTCCACCATTGCAATCACCACCCCACAGCCACCGCCACCATCGCCACCACCGCTGCCCAGGAACCTTTCTACCCCAGCACCCTCATACGACCTGGATCTCAGCCCCTACAGACTCCAGCCTCACACCGGTACTGGCCTAGAAATACAGGCGAGACCCAGAGACAGTGGAGCAGGATGGGGGCTCACCCAGGAGAGAACAAAGCACCTGTCTATGTGACCTTGACCCAGGGAACAGTAGCATCCCATGAAGATGTGGGGCTGACTGGGGACCAGTAGGGAATTCCGGGCTCAGAACCCTGAACACTTCCTGCCTACACTGGCAGGGATCACCAAGCAGCCCAGCCATTCTGGAAGAATGAATTTCAAGAGAGAGGAGTGGGGTTAAAAAGAGGCAGAAATAGAGAGCTCACAGCCAATCCTGGCCAATTCATCATTCGATTCTTCCAATTCTTTCATCTCCTGGTTCATTCTCCAAATGGCCACTGCAGCCAGGGCTGGGCCAGGCTGAAGCCAGGAGCCAGGAACTCCATCCAGGTCTCCCACGTGGGTGGCAGGGACCCAAGTATATGGGGCCAGCATCTGCTGCTCTCCCAAGCACTTTTTTCCCAAGCTGTTAATGCAGGGAGCTCCATCAGCAGCCAGAGGTGCCAGGATTCAAACTGGTGCGCTGATACGGGATGCAGGTGTCCCGGGCTCAACCTGCTGTGTCCCAGCACCTGTGCCCAGCCTGTTTTCTACTACCCTGCCGATCTCTTCCCCACTGCCGGCTGCTTCTCCACCCTGGTTCCCTTCACCCAGCTATCGCAATTTGCTCACGCTGGTCTAGGGTCATCGAAACTCCCGAGACCCTGCCAGTTCCCTGGGTGACCTTGAACAAGTCCCCTCCTCCCACACCACACCCGCTGAGTAGAGGCGCTGAGCCTGGCTGTGGGGGCATCTGGGGGCACGGAGGTATCTGCAGAGGAGGAAGGCATTGCTGAGGTGGGGCTGGAGCCCGAGTGCCTGGCTCTGGGATGGGGGAGATATAGGGTCAGGGGTCAGGGGTCTGGGAAATGGGGGTGGGGAGGGGCAGGTGGCACCAAAGCCTGAAAAATGGGGCAAGGGTGGGAGCCAAGGCACGCCCTGAGCTGGGAGGGAGTCAGTCAGCCAGGCCACGGGATCAGATCAGGAGTCAGGTGTCTCTGAGGCCCCACAGAGGGTGACAGCTTCTGCAGCACCTGTCCCTGCCTTACCTGCAGGAAAGGCCATGCCCCTCCCTGGAGCCAGGCCTGGCCAGCCTACCAGCAGGAAGGTGGGGGCAGAGAGCTTCCCTTCTGCTTCCAGTCGGAACCTGCTCCAAGCCGACGGGCACCCTCTCCCTGTCTCCCACCTCCCATGCCCATCGCAGCCTCAGCGGCCAGTTTAAGGGCTCCCAGGGGGTAGCCACCTTGCCCTGGCCACCTCCAGGCTAGGAAGCGGGTGCCTGTGCCTTTAAATTCTCAGCAGGTTGAAACGGCTGATGACATCACTGGTTCCCGGGAGCTGAGGAGCTGGGGCCAGAGCCCGAGGGAGCCGGGCTGCCGGGGGCTGCAGACATGGAGGGCCAGGGCGTTGGTAGCAGCAGGAGGCCGGGGGCCCGGGCTGCCCTGGGCTCCCTGTCTGTGCCCCACGGGGTTTCCCAAACTGGGGCACCCTCCAAGGTAAGACTGCTAAAACCCAGCTCCCCCATTCCTGATCCCTGGTCCCACACCCCCACACACAAACACTGCAGGCACCCTGGTGCCCCCAACTGAGGGGCTGGCTCCCTCTTCCGCCCACCAGGCAGAGGCTGGTACAGAGGGCACCCTGGGAGCTGAGGGGTAGTAATAGGATGCGCAGGAGAGATGGAGTGCACCATCTCCAGGAGCCTCCAGGACAGCCCTGGACTGGGGCATCGGGGGATCCAGCTGTGCTCCAGCCCATGCTGTGTGACCTTGGGCAAGTCCCTCATCCTCTCTGAGCCCTTGCAAAATGAGAGGGCTTGTCTCTGAAGACGAGGACTGTGACATCTGGGATGTCTAAGTTGTTGGTGCTGGGGGCGGTGCAGTGGGGTGGGGGGGGGAGGGGGCACACAGCGGGACTCTTGGAGACAAGAATGCAGCCTCCCTGAGCTGAGTTTGGGGAGCTGAGTTGGAGGTGGAAGCAGAGTTTCGGGTTCCCTGAAGCGAGAAGGACACGGGACAGAGACACAGCTGCGTCTCTGGAGGCAGGGATGGGGCCACCCTGGGGCGAGGATAGACCTTCCTCTGGGCCACGGCAAAGGACGCTTTCTTCTGCGGGCAGCGGGCATCCGAAATCTGGGAAGAATGGAGAAAGAGGTGCTAGCAGGGGGCTCCACCTGCTCCCAGGGGAGATGGCAGAGGGCAGGGAGGTGGGACAGCAGGATCAACTTGGAATCCCGAACTTGATCTTGGTGTTACAACTGTACCTGGGGAGGATGGCTGGTTCCATGGAGCTGGGTGGAATTCTCGTAACGGGGTAGAGAATAGGAGACAGAGAAACACCCCTCCCCTCGAATGTGGTGTGGCCAGGGACCCTTCACCCAGCCCCTTTGTCTTACAGACAGGGAAACTGAGGCCCTTGGGGGAGGGTCATCCGCCTGGCAATGAGTCTGGGGATGTTCAGAGGGTCTGTGGGCCCCGTGGATGAGGAAGAAGTGTTTCCGCGGCTGGATCCAGTGCGCCAGTGTGGGCAGACCTGGGGCAGGGGGCCTGGTGGGGGTCAGTGGCCCCTGGGCATGGAGGAGCTGCAGAGACTGGAGTGGGAGAGTTGCCTGGGAAAGCTAGACAGGGAGAACCTCAAGTTCAGACCCACACTCTGCCTCATCCCAGTCGGGGTCTCAGTTTGCCCATCTGAGAAAGGGGTTTTCGACTTGAAGGAGGTGGGGTTAGGGCTTTGTGTCCTGTCTGCTCCAGGACAGAAGCTGACCCGCAGCAGCATGGGCTGGGGTGAGATAATAGGAAGGACTTTCCTTGGAAAAATGTGTCTTTCTTAGCTGGATGGGGTCTGCCAGGGTCTCCATAGAAACCTGGGCCCAACTCCCTGCTTAGGGTCACCCTGAGCCTTTAACGTGTCCTCTACAAGGTGGCCTGTGGTTTTCAGCTCTCAGCCAAGGATACAGCAGTCTTGGAACCAAGGGTGGCCCTGGCACCTGTGGGACCGCGAGCAGTTCTGTCACCTTCCCCTGAGGCACCAAGGCTGGCTCTGGAGTCTGCCCGCCCTCCCTTTACCCCTGGAGGACAGAAAACCGCACCCGCCCACCGCAGCCCCAGCCTAGCCCCAGCATCTGTAGGCCAGCTGCAGATGTCTGCCTCCACTGGACCAAGCCTTCCCCCGGTGCCCGCGGGCTCAGTCCCGGCTCCAGCGTCTCTAGGGCAGCTGGTCGTCTCTGCCTCGGCTGGCCCGAAGCCTCCGCCAGCCACCCTGGGGCCCAGTCCAGCTCCAGCTTCCAGGGACCAGAAACAGGTGTCACCCACCTCCATGAGACCCAAGCCAGCGCTGGCAGCCTCAGGCCTGAGCCTGGCTGTGGCTGCTCACGAGCAGCCCCGACAGGTCCCTCCCAAACCCTCTCCAGTGTCCAGTCCCGTTCTGTCACCTCCCCAGGAGCAGGCCCTGGCTCCGGCACCAGGGTGGACCCCAGCCAGACCCAGAGATGCCTCAGCCCCTAGGCTGACCCCGCCTTCTGAGGGGCGTCTTCAGTCCCCAGCTCAGGCCACCAGTCCTGTGCCCTCCCCAGACCCCCGGCTCTCGCCCTCCTTCCGAGCCCGGCCCGAGGCCTCCCGCAGCAGCCCCGAAGGTCCCGTCCTGCCACGGCCGCCGCAGACCTTGCCCTTGGATGCGGTCCAGGGCTCTGCAGAACCTGGGACCCGCTCTCCCGGACTTCTGTCCCCCACCTTCCGGCCGGGGACACTCTCAGGCCAGTCTGTGCCCCCGCCTCTGCCCAAGCCACCCCGGTCTCCCAGCCGCTCCCCTAGCCGCTCCCCCAACCGTGCCTCCTATGTGCCCCCAGCCCCTGACACAGCCCTCCCTAGGCCTGGCACCCAGAGTGTGGCACCTAGCAGGTGCCCGAACCCCATCCTCCAGACCCAAGAAGCGCCAGCTCCAGTCTCCACCTCCCCTTCCACAGCCATCTCGCCATCTGCCTCTTGGTCAGCTCAGCCAACCTGCAAGAGCGACCCCGGGTTCCGGTGAGGGCCTTCTTCCTGAGCAAGGTTGCTGGGGCTTGAGCTCTGAGCCGAGCCCCACTTCTGGGGTGGCTGGCCGGTTCTGACTCAGCTTGCCTCCCCAAGGAAGAGTCCTTGGTTGGGAGGAGGGGAGTGCTGGGTTTGCTTTGGGACCCTCAAAAGCCTGGGTCCCCATCTAAGGGGACCTGTCCCCTCCTTGGTTGGTCTCCCCCGTGGACTGCTCGGTAGAGGGAAATTGAGGGAGTAGGAGTGGAGCCCAGGAGTAAGCTCTCCCATGGCCCTGTCTCCAGGATCACTGTGGTCACTTGGAACGTGGGCACGGCCATGCCCCCAGATGACGTCACGTCCCTCCTCCACCTGGGCGGCGGCGATGACAGTGATGGTGCGGACATGATCGCCATAGGGTGAGGGGCCAGGGTGCGTGGGCACCCCCACCCCAGCCCCTGGAGCCTCCCCTAGCTCCTCGCCCATAGCAGGGGCTTCTAGGAAACCCCTTCCAATCCGATGGCAGCCCCCCCTCGCCTCCCCCAGATTGCAGGAGGTGAACTCCATGATCAACAAGCGGCTCAAGGACGCTCTCTTCACGGACCAGTGGAGCGAGCTCTTCATGGACGCGCTGGGGCCATTCAACTTCGTGCTGGTAAGGCGGCCCTCACCCTCCGGACAGACCCCCCCACGCTGGGTTCCCCACCCAGACCTAAAGGACAGGGTGCGGCGGCGGCGGGGAGAGCGGGGTGGAGCCGGCGCCCCCAGCCCCCGCCTCCCGCCGCCGCAGGTGAGTACCGTGAGGATGCAGGGCGTCATCTTGCTGCTGTTCGCCAAGTACTACCACCTGCCCTTCCTGCGGGACGTGCAGACCGACTGCACGCGCACTGGCCTCGGAGGCTACTGGGTGAGAGTGCGAACGGGCCCAGGAGTGCTTCGCCAGTCCCCCTGCACCTGCACTCGCACCCTGCAAGGTCCCCGCCCTGCACACTCCAGGCACCACCTTGCGACCTGCCCCGTCCAAGCCCCGCCCAAGTCTCCAGACCCTTCCCTCTTTCCCACTCCGCCCTCCTCCCGGCCTAAGCCCAGCCCCCTGACCCGCCCCCTACTCATTCACCCCCGCCTCCCCAGGGTAACAAGGGAGGCGTGAGCGTGCGCCTGGCGGCCTTCGGGCACATGCTCTGCTTCCTGAACTGCCACCTGCCCGCGCACATGGACAAGGCGGAGCAGCGCAAGGACAACTTCCAGACCATCCTCAGCCTGCAGCAGTTCCAGGGCCCCGGCGCCCACGGCATCCTGGACCACGAGTACGGGCTGGGCGGGGCTTGGGAGAGCGGCTCCGCGCCCGTCTCGGAGGAGAGGGGCGGGGCCCGTGAGGGTGAGCGACAGCAGCCCCAGCCTACAGGTGGGGGCACGACTGCAGGTTGATGCAGAGGGGCGGGGCCGATGAGGGTGAGTGACAGCAGCCCTAGACCACAGGTGGGGGCACGACTGCAGGTTGATGAAAAGGGGCGGGGCCTGTGGGAGTGCGCGACACCCGCCCCAGACTACAGGTGGGTGAGGGCGCGCGTGCTGGTAGACGAAGAGGGGCGGAGCCTGCGGGGTGGAGCTTTGCCGACGGGCCGGGGCCTCGCTGGAGGTTGAACCCAATTTCTTGGAGACCCAGCCCCTTCACTGCCCTCTGCTTCTCTGGCTGGCTGAGGACTCAGGCGTCAGCACCCTGCCCACCCGCAAGCATTTCTAGGGGTGCCAGTGCTGTCGGGGTGGATGGGCGCCAGGGAGGATCCTTCCTCCCACCTCCACCGGGACCCACTTAACCCTCTCACTCCCGAACAGCCTCGTGTTCTGGTTTGGGGACCTGAACTTCCGCATTGAGAGCTATGACCTGCACTTTGTCAAGTTCGCCATCGACAGCGACCAGCTCCATCAGCTCTGGGAGAAGGACCAGGTGGAGGATCCCAGCCCTTCCCCATCCCCCAAGCACCCCAAGCATGCCCAGGACTCCCCTACCCTCACCTGCCCTGACCCCTCCCTGGGAACCCAAGGGCCCAGGCTTCTGTACAACTTGGTCTTTCTGGACTCGCTCTTCCCCCAGCTCAACATGGCCAAGAACACCTGGCCTATCCTGAAAGGCTTCCAGGAGGGACCCCTCAACTTCGCTCCCACCTTCAAGTTCGATGTGGGTACCAATAAATATGATACCAGGTGAGCTCAGCAGGGATGGCGTGGAGGTGGTAAGGTCTTGAGAGATCGAGACCAGACAGAAGGCAAGGCTGGGGGTTGGGCCTTAACCCTCGACCCCTGAAACTCGGGCTGCCCCGCCCACTGCAGTGCCAAGAAGCGGAAGCCGGCCTGGACCGACCGGATCTTGTGGAAGGTGAAGGCTCCAGGCGGGGGGCCCAGCCCGTCGGGACGGGAGAGCCACCGGCTGCAGGTGACCCAGCACAGTTACCGCAGCCACATGGAATACACAGTCAGCGACCACAAGCCCGTGGCTGCCCAGTTCATCCTGCATGTGAGTGTTGGCATTGGCTTTTTATGACACCCCGAGCCCAGTACAGCACCCCACTGCCCACCAGGAACCCCTGCACCTGCTCTGAGCGGCAGCTGTTTGCCATAACCAAGTGAGACCCAGGGACTTGGCTCAGAGACACAGCAACATTTGCCCAGAGTCACACAGCTACCGAGAGGAAGAGTTGGGGTTTGAACCTGAGCCAGTCCGATCTCAGAACTCATGCCTTTTTTTTTTAAGCATTGAACTTTTTTAAAAAAATACTTATTTTATTAGAAAGTCCGAGTTTCAGAGAGAGAGAGAGAGAGAGAGAGAGAATCAATCTTCCATCCACTGGTTCACTCCCCAAATGGCCACAACAGCCAGAGCTGAGCCAATCTGAAGCCAGGAGCCAGGAGCTTCTTCCAGGTCTCCCACGTGGGTGCAGGGGCCCAAGCACCTGGGCCATCTTCTGCTTTCCTAGGCCACAGCAGAGAGCTGGATCGGAAGTGGAGCAGCCGGGACTCGAACCAGTGCCCATATGGGATGCTGGCACAGCAGGTGGTGGCTTAACCTGCTACGCCACAGTGCCCATAGCTCATGCCTTGTTTTCATTCACCTCTATTACCCTTATTTCAAGAAAAGGTTAGGGCACATGATGTTGCAATTCAGCAAACATAATGAGACTAGCAAAACTGTAACACTTCCTCAAACCCCATATAACCTCGCTTCAAGTTCATTCATTGTTTATATACCTACTATTTCCTGTGTTCCCGTGTGCCAGGCATTCTGAGGATGATGATTAGCGATGAGAAGGGGGAAAGCAGAGATCTAGCCATTACAAAGCTAACCTCTAAGCAGCTACTATAACTTAGCACTGTATTAGGACTGAGTTCCCCGGTTGCCAGAGTTACAAAGGAGAAATCCTGGAATTGAAATCTGAGGCTCCTGCTGGGGTAGGCGCTTGCTCCAAGTCCCACGCAGGCTCAGCAGTGGCGGAGTGGTGGCGATCCCATCTTGCCAGCCCCAAAACCCAACTCTGGGCTCTCCGGATTTCTTGGGTGGATAAGAAGGAACCCTTCCAGGGGGAGGATGTTTTTCCCGGTCACTTGGTCACATGGTCAAGTCGGTGGGGCCATCGGCCAATGTTTTCAGCTGGGAGAGGAGATCTGTCTGTGCCTGGCCAGCCGTGACCTTTGATGAAGGGCTCGTGCTTGTTTTAACCCTCAGGCAGGGGTGCTGCCTGGAGAATCGCCCCTTTCTCGCCCAGAACCCTGTCCCTCCACACATTACCTGCTGAGTACCTCCGGCACGGCAGGCCCTGTGGAGAGCATTTTGCCTGTTGTCATCCCTTTGAACGGCTCCATGGGCCTGAAGTGTCCTAAATTCCCCCTCTGTGTGTTACTGGAGAGAGAAACTGAGACTCAGGGAACGCAGGTTGCTCACCCAAGACAATGCAGTCAGAACAGGACTCCCTGCTAAGACCTTGGAGGCCATCTCCAAGGCTCTGCCCTTGGCCGGATGTTGCTGTTAGGGATCCAGGGGCCGAGAGAGCATGTCCCAGTTTCTTCTGGAGCAGCTTGCCTCAGAAGCTGTGGGAGAGAAACCTGAAACCTGATAAACAATTGAGCAAGGGCCCCAGGCTGCAGGCAACACCTGAGCCGCCTGCCTGCCCGGGGAACACAGGTGGAGCCAGTACCCTGGCCACCTGCCACTCCTGTAGGTAACGCCCTGTTCAATCCACCTGGGTTGGTCCTCGATACTTGTGGCTATCATTAGTTTGTTTTTTTTTTTTTTTTAAATTTTTGACAGGCAGAGTGGACAGTGAGAGGGAGAGACAGAGAGAAAGGTCTTCCTTTGCCATTGGTTCACCCTCCAATGGCCGCCGCGGCCCGCGCGCTGCGACCGGTGCACCGCGCTGATCCGATGGCAGGAGCCAGGTGCTTCTCCTGGTCTCCCATGGGGTGCAGGGCCCAAGCACTTGGGCCATCCTCCACTGCACTCCCTGGCCACAGCAGAGAGCTGGCCTGGAAGAGGGGCAACCGGGACAGAATCCGGCGCCCCAACCAGGACTAGAACCCGGTGTGCCAGCGCCGCAAGGCGGAGGATTAGCCTAGTGAGCCGCGGCGCCGGCCTATCATTAGGTTTTATGCGCTGCCGACCCAGCAATCGTTACGGCCCCTTATTCAGATGGGGACACTGAGGCTTGAGATGGCCAGGGCCTTGTCTGGGGTCACAGAGCAGCCTAATGGCAGGGCCTAGAAATGAACTGAGGCCTCTGATCTCTCATTCAGGCACGCTCAGTGGTGCACAGCTTAGCCCAGGATGCCCAGGACATGTTAGGCCTCTACCTGTCTCCCTCACCAGCATTTAAGGGAGATCACGTCTTGAGCACATGCTGCTATGCTGGGAAGTTTATGGGATGCTTTATTATTTATTTATTTTTTGACAGGCAGAGTGGACAGTGAGAGAGAGAGAGACAGACAGAAAGGTCCTCCTTTGCCGTTGGTTCACCCTCCAATGGCCTCTGCGACCGGCACACTGCGGCCGGGGCACCGCACTGATCCGAAGCCAGGAGCCAGGTGCCTCTCCTGGTCTCCCATGCGGGTGCAGGGCCCAAGCACTTGGGCCATCCTCCACTGCACTCCCTGGCCACAGCAGAGAGCTGGCCTGGAAGAGGGGCAACCGGGATAGAATCCGGCACCCCGACTGGGACTAGAACCCAGTGTGCCGGCGCCGCAAGGCGGAGGATTAGCCTAGTGAGCCACGGCGCCAGCCTATTATTTTTTTTTAAGATTTGATTTATTTATTTGAGAGGTAGAATTACAGACTGGGAGAGGGAGAGACAGAGAGAGATACAGAGTCCATCCACTGGTTCACTCCCCAAATGGCTGCAACAACCAAAGCTGGGCCGATCCAAAGCCAGGAGCCAGGAGCTTCTTCCGGGTCTCCCACGCAGGTGCAGGGGCCCAAGCACTTCTACTGCTTTCCCAGGCCATAGCAGAGAGCTGGATCAGAAGAGGAGCAGCCGGGACACGAACCGGCGCCCGTATAGGATGCCGGCGCTGCAAGTTGCAGCCTTACTTACTACGCCGCAGTGCCGGCCCCTGGGACGCTTTACAAATGGCACCTCCCTGAATCTGCAGAGCAACCCCGAGAGTTAGGGAGCCCATGAGTTTGCAGGCAAGGGCCCTGGCTGGCATTCAGAAGCCTTGGTACTCATCCAGGGTTGTATAACCTGTCAAAGGCAGAGCCAGGGCCAAATCCGAGGTACGCTGGCTACAGGGCTGCGTTCCACTCACTTCCTAGGGGCAGAAGGAGCCCTGGGCTGGGAGACAGGGCACTTGGCATTTATCCTAGCTCTGTCCTGCTCAGCTTCTCCCTCTGTGAAGACTCAGTCCCCAGAGTCCCTAGGTGCATGGCGTGCTAGAGGGAGACCCCTGATGCGGGCCCCCTTGCCTCGCCCGGGCAGTTTGCCTTCAGGGACGACATGCCACTGGTGCGGCTGGAGGTGGCAGATGAGTGGGTGCGGCCGGAGCAGGCTGTGGTGCGGTACCGCGTGGAGACCGTGTTCGCCCGCAGCTCCTGGGACTGGATCGGCTTGTACCGGGTGAGTAGGGCGAGTGGGATCTGGGCGTCGGGGAAGCCACGGGCCGGGAGGAGCACGTGACTTGACCCGGGTTTTATGATGCCGCACCTGGAAGCTGTTGGGATCAGGCACTGACCGGGGAGGGGCGGGGCAGGGCAGGAGGGTGTCACGCCCTGATTCCTCACGCTCCAGGTGGGTTTTCGCCACTGCAAGGACTACGTGGCTTATGTCTGGGCCAAACATGAGGACGTGGACGGCAGTGTCTACCAGGTACTTGAAGGAGCAGCAGAGTTGGGGTCGGGTGGGAGAGTCCCTTTGGTCTGGGGAACCTCAGGACTCAGCTCAGCCGTGTCCTGAGGCTGCCCACCTAACCCCCCCTTGGGTCTGCACCCCTGGGCCCACCAGGTGACGTTCAGTGAGGAATCATTGCCGAAGGGCCATGGAGATTTCATCCTGGGTTATTATAGCCATCACCACAGCATCCTCATCGGTGTCACGGAACCCTTCCAGGTAACAAAAAAAAAAAAAAAAAAAAAGCCAACCTGCAGGGTCCCGGGTTGGGCTGGGCACCCCGATGACCGGCACTTGCCCCCAGATCTCGCTGCCTACCTCGGAGCTGGCCAGCAGCAGCACCGACAGCTCGGGCACCAGCTCAGAGGGTGAGGACGACAGCACCCTGGAGCTGCTTGCACCCAAGTCCCGCAGCCCCAGCCCTGGCAAGTCCAAGCGACATCGCAGCCGCAGCCCAGGCCTGGCCCGTTTCCCCGGCCTCGCTCTCCGACCCTCGTCCCGCGAGCGCCGTGCTGCCAGCCGGAGCCCCTCGCCCCAGAGCCGCCGGCTGTCTCGGGGTACCCCCGACAGGGGCAACAGTGGCAGCAGCCAGGGCAGCTGCGAGGAGGGGCCTTCTGGGCTGCCTGGCTCCTGGGCCTTCCCACCAGCTGTGCCTCGAAGCCTGGGCCTGCTACCCGCCTTGCGGCTGGAGACCGTAGACCCGGGTGGCGGCGGCCCTTGGGGACCTGAGCGGGAGGCCTCGGCCCCTGCCAGCCTGTCTCCCAGCCCCCAGGGCCAGCAGGGGCTGGAGGAAGGAGGCCTGGGGCCCTGAGGGCGGACTGGATGGATGGGCCCAGGCGGCCCCCACTCTGCCACAATCCTTTGCAATCCCACTCGTCTCTCTCCTGCTGTTGCACCAGCTGCATCTGTACCTGTCACACTGTCCTGGCCCAGGGAAGCTCACTGGGGTCCCCCAGATCTCAGTCCCGGCCCCTCAAACTGTGACAATCAGCCAAGCCCTGTCTGGGCCCCCATCTGGGGTGGTGGTGGGGAGCTTGGGCAGACGACTGGGTCCTGGAGGTCACTCATTAGGAATTAAATTCTCCAGTTCTCTCCCACCTGCTGCCTGCCTTGTTAGCAGTCTGGGCACCGGGGTCGTCAGAGGCAGGACTGCAGAGGCAGGCCAGGACAGAATTCACACTCAGTAGGCACCAGCCGCCTGGGGGCATTTGTATCATTTTTTTTTTTCATCTGCACCGTAGCCTTGCAGGTTCAGTGCCATTCTTAGACCCATTTTCCAGGCGAGCAAACTGAGGCCTCCAAAAGTTAAGATCAGACAGCAACGCACAGACTGGCTGTGTGCTGAAGGGGAGGAACAGTTACTAGGTGTTAAACACTGCTTGCCTATTGAATCTTCAACAACCTTATGAGGTAGCTCCTGTCTAAGACTCCCTTTCTCAGAGGAGTGGCGGGGAGGTCCCTGGTGCAAAGGCGAGGGGGAGGTTTGAATGTAGGCTGAGGGCAGAGAGAACCGGCCAGGGGAGCTGAGCGAGGGAGTGTTGAAAACAGGGGGCCTCCCTGGGAAGAGGGGAGTTGGGAAGGCCTCTCCAGCGCCCCCTAGAGTCAGGCGTGCGTTCCTGGATTCAGATGTAAGCCATTCTGAGACAACCCTAATATCCTCACTTGCTGCCTTGGGCCTCAGCTGCCGTGTGCTGGGGCTCCCCTAGGCAGATCCTTGAGATGTATTAATTGTGCTACAAGAGTGAGCAGGTACCCCGACACCTCCTGGGGCGACTGCAATAAGGTATCCCCTCCCCAACGGGATGTGAAATCCCCTGGCGGGGTCTAAGCCCAGGGAATCAGAGGGAGCCTCCTGAACACGACGTGCAGGCACAGAGGGGTTATGTGACTAGCTCGGTGTCACCCAGCGCAGTGGGAGACACGGTCCAGCATTTGGGCCTTGGGTTCCGCCACAGCCAGCCTCCAGGCTGTCGGCATGTCCTCTGCCATGCTTCATTCTAACTCATGGGGAGGAGGCCGGGACTCCCAAGGCCTGGCAAAGCCAGGGGCGATGCCCAGTCTGGTGCCCGGGAGAGCTGGAGCTGGGGTCATTGGCTCGGGACCTCGTGCTGCCCGTTGGGTCTCCCAGGCCGCCTGGGTTAGCTGCAAGCACTGCTCATAGAATGAAACGGGAGCCCCTGGGGGCTCTGACGGCCATGGCTGCCCTGCCGCTGGGTCTTCATCCTGGAGCTTAAGCCGAAGCCGCCGAAGATGCCGAGCTGACACCTTGATGGCCCTGGGGTCCCTGGCACAGCTGTGGGGACAGAGGGGAGGGGAGCGGGTGGTCAGGGCGCTGGCCAGGATGTCGCCCTGCTCTGCAGACAGGCAAGGGAGCCGGCCCAGAGAGCAGCAGGACTGGGGCCAGAATCACCTGCAAGGCATGGTGGGAGAAGGGGGAGGCTGGGTTATGCCTAGAAGGGGGCGTAATAAACCTGGGCCGGTACCCAGAGGCCCAAGTCCTGCCACGAGCCGGCTGTGGAAACCAGAGCCAATCTGGGCCTCAGTTTCTCCCCCTGTGAAATAGGCCACGAGATGCTGGCTTTGAAAACCAGAATCCAATTGAGGTTGTGGATTAGGAACAAGCCGTGGCCATTTTCCTGTGCGTGAGTCAGGCCTTGAGTAGTGTCATGTCCCCGGGGGCCATGGCCTCGGCCACTTCCTGTACCCATTTTACAGACAAGGGAATAAAGGCTCTGAAAAGTCAATCAACTTATCGACGGCAACCGGGAACTACATGACAGGGCCAAGGTGCGACCCCCATAGGCCAACGGCAGAGCTGGACCTGGGGCAGCAGGAGACAGGAGGATGATGATGGTGCTCAGAGAACCCCACCCCCTTGGCCCCAGACACTCAAAGAGGATGTAGCCCTCTGGGGAAAACTCCCCCCCCCCCCGTCCCTCCTGGCTCTGCCACCACTTACTCTTCACTCTCAGCACAGTCTAGTGGCGGGGCCAGCGTGAAACAGGTGGTGCCCAGCAGTTCCCAAAGCACGCTGGTGCCCGGGGGTGGGCTGTGGAGCCTCAGGAAGCGCGCCAGACTGAGGGCAGAGGCAGGCTCAGGCTGGGGCTCTGCCCTGCCAGCCGGGTGCCCCTTCCCAGAGCCTGGAAGCAGGCAGCACAGCCCCAGGGGTCCTGGTCAGCCCCAGCCCCAGGGGTCCTGGTCAGCCCCACCCCCAGGGGTGCTGGTCAGCCCCACCCCCAGGGGTCCTGATAAGCCTCACCCCCAGGGGTGCTGGTCAGCCCCACCCCCAGGGGTCCTGGGCAGCCCCACCCCCAGGGGTCCTGATAAGCCTCACCCCCAGGGGTGCTGGTCAGCCCCACCCCCAGTGGTCCTGGGCAGCCCCACCCCCAGGGGTCCTGGTCAGCCCCACCCCCAGGGGTCCTGATAAGCCCCACCCCCAGGGGTGCTGGTCAGCCCCACCCCCAGGGGTCCTGGTCAGCCCCACCCCCAGGGGTCCTGATAAGCCCCACCCCCAGGGGTGCTGGTCAGCCCCACCCCCAGGGGTCCTGGTCAGCCTCACCGGCGCGTGCAGTTGCAGTGGAAGAGGGGCCCAGGGGCCCCATTGAGCAGCTGGAACTTGGTTTCCTGGGAGCCAATCCGGAGCTGACACTGATCCAAGCGGCGGAAGCTGCGGCAGGCCTGGTGGGCACCTGGGGTGCGCAGGTGGTGGTCATGGGAGCCCTGTCCTCCAGGGCCGCCCCACCAATGCCCACCACCATCCAGGAGAAACCCTGGTCTCCCTGTGTGTCACAAGCCCTCTGTGTTTGGGTGCTGCACATTCGGGAGTGCACCCCGCCCCCCCTCACACACATGCACACACGCTCACACACGCATGCACACACACACAGCCACACCACTGTAGAGGAAGCCCAGGGTGCTGAGAGGAGGTCAGGAAAGGCTTCCTGGAGGCAGCGGCTGCTCAGCTGAGGCTGGGAGAAGAAGAGGAGAAGAGACTGGGCAAAGGCCCAGAGGTGGAAGAGGGCCTGCCGCTCTGTGGGACCACGTGAAGTGTGTGAAGCTGCAGCTGTGGAGTGGGGTCTGCCAGGACAGGGCCTGGAGGCCCGGATGTTGGGGCACCAGGGGACGGCTCAGCGGCAAGTGAGGATCAGGAGCATCTTTCACAGCGGTGCGATTTGATGGGAAAGGCTGGGAGACCCCGGGAGGCGTTGGCTTTTGTTTTTAATTCTATTTATTTCTATTTGGCAGAGAGAGAGAGAGAGAAGAGGAGAGGAGAGAGAGATCTTCTATCCACTAGTTCACTCCTCAAATGTCTGCAACTGTCAGGGTTTGGCCAGGCCAACGTTAGGAGACAGGAACTCAGTCTCCCACGTGGGCGGCAGCGGATCCAAGGATTCGAGCCGTCACCTGCTGCCTCCCAGGATGCGCGGGGAGCTAGCATGGGAGGCAGAGCTGGGACTGGAACCTGGCGCTCTGATAGGGGATGCAGGATTGCTAAGGGGTGTCTTAATGGCTTCACCAAATGCCCACCCCCTGGAATGCATTTGGAACAGGAAAAGAAGCAATGCAGGCCCTCCTGCCCCTCTCCCCCCACATAGGCAGAGGTCAGAACAGTGCCCCCCCCATCAGGACACCCCAAGGTTAGGCTCTGAGCTCACCCTGGCCTTTGAGTTCACCCCGTGGGTTCTGGAGGCCTGGCTGAGGGGTCCCAGGCTGGGCTGTGCGGCCCACACCAGGCCTGGGGGAGGCCCCAGGGGACTGGGGGGCTGTGGCATTGGCCGTGCTGAGACGCCGGGACCCCTTCTGCCGTGGCCACCACTTCCGCAGGTGAGGCTTCTCTGCAGGTCTGGTAGGGGCTGGGCTCGGGGGGCTGGGAGGCAGGGAGGAGGCTGGGGAGCTCCAGGAGGCATTGTAGCGAGTCCTGGGCTGCAGACGTGCCAGGGGCACCAGGCCATACGTCCTACACCTGGAGGGTGGCGTTTGGTGGTCATGAGTGACCCGCAATCCCCACTCCCAGGAGCACCCCCCCAACCCCGCAAGGAGACCAAGGCTGTGCCAGTCCCATCTCCCACCCTGGGGCGGGGGGACACCCAGGAAGGGTGTGCAGGCAGCGCTCCTCACCAGGAGGGCAGCCCAGGCTCCCGCTCTGGCTGGGGAAGGACTCAGGGGGCAGCCACCTACCCGCCCCACCAGTACCACGCCACACAGGCCTCCTGCTCCTCCAGCACAAAGCAGGGGATCTCCAGCACGTTGAAGAAGGCCACGCCCACGAGGTCGGCGATGGAGTCGCCCTGGCTCCTCAGGCATTGCTGGAATCTGCCCCAGAGCAAGCATTCAGGTCACTGGGCCACACAGGGCCACCCGGCTCCTCCCAAGGCCCACGCTGGCACCGTGCACCTGCCGGTTGGCTTGGAGCCCCAAGTCCTTTCCGTGGGGCCTCCGCTTTCCCACCCGTACCATGGGGTCCAAGCTGGCTGATCTTCTTCCGTGCTGTCCGGTTCCACATCTAGGACCTGGCAAGCAGAGTCCCTGCCCCCCCCTGCAGGCCACTAACCTGGTGTCACAGTCGCAGTGGGAGATGGTGTGGAACCGGAAGTTGCGGAGGCCATAGTTGTACTGCAGGGGCGAGATGGTCTGCGGACAGCGGTCATGTTCCCGGCAGCAGAGATCGGGGCCCTGGAAGATCCCTGCAGGGAGGGCCCCGGCGCCGGCTCAGCAGCTCTACCCACTTTGGCCTCCAGAGGGCAGAGTTGCTGGTTCTCGTCCCAGCCCTCCCACAGATGCCCTGCCTGGGGGCCGGAGCACACCCCTCTCCCTCTGGGGGGATCCACAACAGTTTCAAAGCTTGCAGAGAGCACCCAGGCTGCAGCCCCTCCCCTGTTAGGGCAATTCCCAGCCCCCCAGCCGCGAGCACTTTCCCTCTGGGGAACTGGGGAGTCTCTCTCTCTCTCTCTCTGCAGAGTCCCCAAGCTCATGCCCCCAAGGAGAGGAGTCCCGGGTTAGGACTCATGGCATGGCAAACAGGCACATCCTTTCTCACCGGCACGAGGAGGCGTTTCCAGCCCCCCAACCTGCCCTGCTCGTGTGCAGAGTCCTCCCCAGCCCCAACGTATGCGCACGGAAGAGCTGTACTGAGTGTGTAGAAAGGTTATCCGAGTTGATCACCGTACAAGCAGTACTGAGCATTTCTTGTGGGCCCAGCCCTTTCCGCACCCGAGTTCATGGCAGCCCGGCGAGGGAGGTGCCGCCTTATTTTTACAGGTGAGGAACCTTATCTCTACAGGTGTGGAAACTGGGGTTGTGGGGGGGCTCCTGGCTCAGCTTCAGGGCGCTGGGCTGGGGTTCCTGGCACGTGCCCCAGTAAAAACCTATTCTTGGGTAGTAGTTTTATTGGCTCAGCCGACTCTGGATCCAACCCAGTGTACCCCCTCGCTTGGAGGGGGATTAAAGCGTCTCCACCCACCACCTCGTTTAAGCACCCCATAACGAGACTCACAGGAACCCTCATTTTGCAGGCAAGGAAATGGAGGTTCAGAGTGGCCAAGTCACTCCCCCGAGGACACACAGCCAAGGGGAGTGAAGCCGGCACTTGGCCCCTGTCAGACCCTCAGCCCACGCCCCCGTGACTCACCCAGCTCCGAGGAGTTCCCAGCAGAGTCCCCGACTCCACACCACAGCGTGCCCGGCACGGTCCAGCCCCTCTTCACCCGCAAGCGCCCTCCGCCAGGCGTTCCGCTCTGCCTGGCCGATCGCTTCTCCCTGGCCCCTGCCCCTGGGCAGGCCTCCCATGGAAGCGTGGCCAGCACTCTCTGCAGCTCGGGTCCAGGGGTGTGGATGAAGGAGCCCCGGGTGGTCTCATGAGTGCAGAGGGCGCCATACGCTGCTGTGAGCTTCGGTTCATCCTGCCGGCTGCAGGCCTGCAGCCTCCCGTGCGCATCCCAGCGGGCGTGGAACAGTGCCAGGCGCTGGGCATCCTTGCCCAGGAAGCTCAGCGAGCTCAGGGGGCTGCCAGGGCTGGACCTGACCAAGTGGCAGGAGGTGGTGTCCCCGTGGAGAGCAGGGGAGCTCCCCGGAGCCAACGCCAGGAAGCTTAGTGCCTCCAGCAGTACCGCCAGAACCCCCAGCCCAGCCCGGCCCATCCTGGCCAGACAAAGCCCCTGGGATGCCTGCCCCACGAGGCAGCAGCTGAGCGGAAGCAGTGCCCAGCAGGCTCCATGCAGCGGGGCCAATGAATGGAGCTGCCGGAGGAGGAGGAAAGAGGCCGGAGTATGGGGTGATCTTGGCCTTGTAACCGAATCCACCGGCCGGGCAAGCCTCTGATTGGCTGAGGAGTGCACTTGCAGGGCCCACGCCCCCACTCACCCAGCCCTTCTCAGCGCCATCCAGTCACCTGCTGCCAGCCCTGCCTGGATGGGGACTGTGGGGGCCAAGGCTTTCGGCTGTGGGGGTAAGGCCAGGTGCCGGGTGGGGTTCTGGGTCACCTTGGGCAGGGAAGAGGGTTCCAGAGCTTGGAGGAGGCTCCCAGAACCGGTCCTGGGCCTCCGTCTCCAGCGCTGGCTGCCACACCCACCTTCAGGCTGGCAGAAAGCCAGGGACAATGCTTCAAGGTTGGGTGTAGGAAGTAAAGGCAGGGCTGGGGAGTGACCACCCTGGGAAGTGCCTCCCCCCATTCCACCCCCAGCCCCAGTCCTGCCCCTTAGAAAGGCTCCTGGTTGGGGCAGGGGGTTGGCCCAAGGACACTTGGGTTGCCTGCCGCCCATATCAAAGTGCCAGGGTTCGAGTCTCAATTCCACTCCTGATTCCACCTACCCTCTAATGAGCACCCTGGGAGGCAGCAGGTGGTGGCTCAAGCACTTGGGGCCCTGCCCAGAGACCTAGATTAAGTTTCTGGCTATTGCAGCCATTTGGGGGAATGAACCAGCAAATGGGAGCCCCTCCTCCCCGTCTCTCTCTCTCTCTGCCTCCTAAATAAATAAAATACATAAATATTTAAAAAGAAATCCCCTTGACCTGCCGAGGGGACAATGTCCCAGCGATCGCCACTTCCTGGGACTTTAAGCTCAGGCCTGGCCCAGCAGCAGCCCTCATGGGCTGACAGATGGGAGAGAGAGCAGGCCTGGAGAACAACGCAGGGCAGGCCCGATGCTCTGGAGCAGGGAGTGGCCCCCCGGGGTGGGGGGTGGTTCTGCGGGACCCCGCGGGCATCATGTGTCCTTGAGAAACAGGGCTGTCTCCACCAGGAACCGGCCACGCTCAGCAGTTACGGCCACCAGCTTGCCGCTGCCCTGGGAGGCTGGTGTGCTTGCTCCCACTGTGCAGACGAAGAGACTGAGGCGCAGCGACACCCTTGGGTGACAGGCAGAGGGGCTGGAGGCTGGGAATGCCGCTCCTGAGAGACTTGGCTGGGAAGCGGGGCTGGCTGGGATAGGGACCTGTCTGTCTGTCCAGCTGCCCATTAGCCCAGGGCTTCCCCACCCCCACCGTCTCTGTCAGAGTCTCTTGCGGTGGGGGCGGGGGGCAGAGTCAGGGCAGAGCTGGGGAGGGGACGCTGAAGTGTGCAGCAGAACCAGAACGGGACGGGAGCCGCAGGGTGGGCAGGCCCCTCTCTGGCTCCGGGATCAGCCACCATTGTGGTCACTCTGTCCTGTTATAGATTGTTGCCTACCCTTGCTGAATCGCTGCCCTGCCCATCACTGGAGAGGCTGGGAGGTATCGGAGCAGGAACTCAGCTTCCAAGACCCAGCTAGGTTTAGCCGTCGTGACTTCTCCGAGCCTTAGTTTTCTCATCTGTATAATGGGCACAATCGCAGCAGTCACTTAACAGGACATTGGGTGAGACTCTCTGCCACTGGGCAGGAAGCAGCTTCCCTAGGGCAGAGCAAGTCCCAGGGTTTTCACCCCACAGCACCCGTGCGTGGTGCATGGGTGGGGACGATGGGACTGGCAGCCAGGGGCTGTACTCCTCTCTGTGGTAACAAACAGAGTGCAGCTGACCTCTGGGGTCTCTTCCTGTCCAGGGCCCAAAGGGAGGCAGGCCAGACTCCCCCCAGGCAGCCACGTCACTCAGCCCACAGGACACTGTGCCTGGCTTGCCACCGGGGTTCCCCTCGGAGGCCCCTGAGCAGAGAAGAGAGAGGCCTGAACCAGCAGGATGGGCCCTGCCCTGCACACGGAGGGCGGCCTCAGGGTTCCTCTGAGTCCCCACCCACCTGGGGTGAGGTGGGTGCCCAGGGGGGTCGGGGGCTGACCATCTGTCACCGTCTGTCTCCCTCGGGCCCCACCTCTCCGCCTCCTTTGGCTTTGGGCACTGTCTCTGTCTCTGTCTCTCTTTTTCTCATTCTCTCTCTGGTGCTAATTCTTCCCTTCTTTCTATCTCCTCCATCTCTCCCATGTGTTCTCTCTCTCTCTCTCTCTCTCTCTCTTCCTCCCTCCCTCCCTCCCTCCCTCCCTCCCTCCCTATTTCTCTTTCTCATTTTTCTGCTCGATTCTCCGTACCCCAAACTCTCTTTTCTTCTTGCTCCCAATTCTTCTATTTCTCTGCCTCCCTCTCTTAACCCCCGAACCTGCACCTGTTTGTCTTTGTTTCTCTTTTGGTTTTCTCCTCCCTTTCCTCCTCCTCCCCTCCTCCCCTTTTTTTCTACCTCCCATTTAGAACTTTGCTTCTGTGTGCACCTGCGTGTGTGTGTGCGTGTGTGTGTGTGTCTCCCTCTCTTCTGTGTTACCGCTCCTCCCCCTCTCCTGATTCTCCTCTTCCCCTTTCTCTGTCTGTCCCCCCGCCCACCTCCATACCGTGACTCCCCCTTCCATGTCAGGACCCCAGGCCCAGGCCCACAGAAGTCCCTGGGTGTGTCTCGCTCTTTCCCATTCATTCACCTTTTCCCAGCCATGACCAGCCCCTGCCCCTCCCTGGAGAGACAGGCAGGGTGGGGCTCCTCACTCACAGCGTGGGGTGAGGGGTGGGGGGAGGCCCAAGAAGGGGAGTGACTTGTGGGTGTCACCCAGCAGGTCAGGAGAGGAACCAGCCAGGGAGCGACAGCCTCCCCAGGACCTGGGAGACGCTTTTGTGGGTCCCCCCAAAGCTCCCCTCTTGGGGGCCTTCCCCCCCACTCTGCCCCTTGGAGCTGGCACTCCCAGGCTTACGCGAGGGCTGCTTGTGGCTCTCTGTGCCAGGAGAACAGGGTGGGCGGTGCCTCGCTCCAGAACTCTCTGTGTTCATTCGAAAACAAATCATTGTCGCGTCTACTGGGTGCCAGGCACAGATCAAGACCCTGGACAGAGCTCGCTTCCGAGAGAGGTGGGGCGGGGGAAGGAAGGACAGGGAAACCCAGCCCCTGCCCCGGTATAGTGGGGAACGGAGCCAGTGTCACTTGGATCCTCCAGGAGGCCACTGCCAAGAGTTAGAAGTGCAAGAGATTTATTGGAGGAAATGCCTGGGATCAACAAAGGGGAGGAAGCAGGATGAGGTAGGGAAAGTGTTCAGACTGAGTTTCAGCTCCCACATCAATAAGGAGAGAGACAGTGGGGAGACGGGGGTGGGAGGGGGGCTCAGCCATGACCCACAGTTGAGTGCCAGCCGGGCAGCCACGCCCCCAGCTGCGCCCACTCATTGGCCAGGGGCTCCCTGGGAAGACAGAGGCCCCTGCTTCAACGCTGCTCAGACAGGTGTGACTGGACACACAGCTTCTCCCTGGGGCAGGCTCTCTGCAGACCAGGAGACAGCAGGGTTCCGGCATGTAGGGAGCAAGCCCAAGAGGCAAACCCAGGCCGTGGGCTAGGGATCGGTGGGCACAGGGCCGTGCCCGGAAGATTTCTAGGTGCTCACTCACTGCCCTCCAGGAGGAGGAGCTATATTAAGTGACTCGCTTCTAGCAGATAAAATGTGCTGGGAGCGATGTAACTTCTGAGGCCTGAGCCATGAACAGCCCTGTGCTTTCTCTCTTGTGACACGCGCTCCGAGGGAGCTGGTCCCCAGGTCACAAGGATGGAGCCCTTGTGGGAGGGAGGAGTTGAGCCACGAGGAAGGAGACCCTTAACCCCCAATCAAGTCTTCAGGTGAATTCAGCCACATCTGATATTTTTAAAAAGATTTATTTAAAAGGCAGAGCAACCGGGGTGGGGTGGGGGGTGGGGGAAAAGCTAACTTCCATTCACTGGCTCACTCCCCAAATGATTATAACACCGCAGGCTGGGCCAGGCTGAAGCAGAGAGCCGGGAACTCCATCCTGGTCTCCCACATGGGTCCAGGGGCCCAAGGACTTGGGCCGTCCTCTGCTGCTTTCCCAGGTGCGTTAGCAGGGAGCTGGATGGGAAGCAGAGCAGCCGGGACTCCAACCTGGCACTCTGAGATGGAATACCAGAGTCTCAAGCTGTCATTTAAACCAATGTGCCCCAATGCTGGCCCCTGTTTTTTTTTTTTCTTTTGTAACAGCTTTTTTGAGATATAATCCACATGCCATGCAATTCACCCATTTAAAGTGCAATATTCAGTGGTTTTTAGGATGTTCGTGGGTGAGCAACATCACCATCATCAAATTCCAGGTCATCTCCCCGCAAAAAAAAAAAAAAAAAAAAAAAAAAAAAAAAAAAAAAACCTGTACCCAAGTAACAGCCATCCTTGCCTTCCTCCCTCTTCCTGTCCCCTCCCTAGTAACCACTAATCTATGCTGTGTTCCTTAGAGTTACCTGCTGTTTATTTTTCATACAGACTCATACAGCAGGTGGTCTTTTGTCATTGGCTTCTTCCATTTAGTGTAAGGTTCCCAAGGTTTATCGGCACTATTCTGTGTGTCACTCCTCCAGGCCTTAAAAAAAAAAAAAGATTTAATTATTTATTTGAAAGTCAGAGTTACACAGAGAAAGGAGAGAGAGAGAGAGAGAGAGAGAGAGAGAGAGGTCTTCCATCTGCTGGTTCACTCCCCAGATGGCCACCATGGCCAGAGCTGTGCCGCTCTGAAGCCAGGAGCCAGGAGCGTCTTCCTCATCTCCCACGTGGGTGCAGGGGCCCAAGGACTTGGGTCATCTTCTACTGCTTTACCAGGCCATAGCCGAGAGCTGGATCAGAAGTGGAGCAGCCAGGACTTGAAGCAGCGCCCATATGGGATGCCGGCATTGCAGGTAGAGGCTTTCCCTGCTGAGCCAAAGTGCCGGCCCCTCCATGACTTGTTATGATTGGACAATATTCCACTGTGTGAAAGACTGTGGGTTTCCCCACTCGGCAGCTAATAAACACTTGAGTAATTGCCACTTTTTGGCTCTTATGAACAACTCTCCTATTTAAGGACAAATCTGTTTGTGCACATGGGATTTTATTTCTCTGGGGTCTACACCAAGAAATGAAATTGCAGGATCGTATGGGAGCTCTATAGTTAGCATCCTGAAGAACTGCCAGTCTGATTTTGAAAGCAGCCCTGGCATTTCGCAGTGTGCGACAGGTTCGGATTTGTGCACATCTGCACCAACATCAGTGATCGTCTGTCTTTGTGGCTGTCCTGTTGGGAAGCTTCTCACCGGCTTCCATGTGCATCACTCTCATGGGTCATGATGTTGAGCAACTTTTCACAGTTGCTGCTTGTCCATCTTCTTGGGAGCAACATGCTTGACTTCATGATGGTAACTTTATGAATCATAATCAGAACCATGCAGCCAAGCTACCCTTGAATTCCTAACCTTCAGAAATGGTGTGAGATTTATTATGTGTGTGTGTGTGTGTGTGTGGGTGTGTGTGTGTAAATTTACTTATTTATTTGAAAGGCAGAGTTACAGAGAGAAAAGAAGAAAGAGAGAGAGAGAATCTTCCATCTGCTGGTTCACTCCCCAAATAACCGCAATGGCCAGGCTGAAGCCAGGAGCCAGGAACTCCATCCGGGTCTCTCACATGGGTAGCAGGGGCCCAAGGACTTGGGCCATCTTCCCCTTCCTCCCCAGGCACATTAGCAGGGTGCTGGACAAGAAGTGGAACAGCTGGGATTCAAACTGACGCTCCTAGGGGATGCTGGCTTTGCAGGTGGCGGCTTAACCTGCTGTTCCACAACTCTGGCCCCTGTAGATTGATTTTCTACCTAGGATCACAGGAGTAGCCAAGAGCTAGAGTGTAGGGGAAGCAGTATGGTAAAATAAAACAAGCCCAGGGCAGGCCTGAATTGGAGTGCTGGGTTTTGTCTTTATTTTCTGTGCGAAAGGACCTTTTGGCCCTTTGGGGCTTATTGATGAAGCAGAGATGATAAGAGTGCACATGTCATGCGGCTGGCTCTGTGGCGTAGAGGGTAAAGTCGCCTGCAGTGCCGGCATCCCATATGGGTGCTGGTTCGAGTCCCAGATGTTCCACTTCCGATCTAGCTCTCTGCTACGGCCTGGGAAAGCAGCGGAAGATGGCGCAAGTCCTTGGGCCCCTGCACCCATGTGGGAGACCTGAAAGAAGCTCCTGGCTCCTGCATTCAGATCTGCATAGCTCCAGCCATTGCAGCTGTCTAGGGAGTGAACCAGCAGATGGAAGACACCTCTCTCTCTCTCTCTCTCTCTCTCTCTCTCTCTGCCTCTCCCCCTCTCACGCTCGCTGTAACTCTGCCTTTCAAATAGAAAGAAGGAGACTTCAGGGCCAGAGCCAGCTGAGATGACCGTGTAACTGATTTGATATCTGGCTTCCAGGCTGCAGAGTGTGGGGCTCCTTCCACGTCCCAGGAGACCCCAGCCTGTGAGCAGGGCTCCAACAAAGCACGGCAGGCGATCCTTTACCCATACCATGGGTTCAGCCTGTGGCTCCACCTCCCCTGACGGGGCACGATTGGGCAAGCCACTTCCTTTGGCTGAATCGCCGTACTGGCTGGGGTGATGGGATGATCGTGCCTTTACTTTTTACTTCCCAGGGGTATGACGAAGACCAGAGAAGGGACAAGGATCTTACTGAGGGGTAGAAACCTCAGAGTCAGCAAGGAATCATGGGGAGACCCCATGGGAGCAAGGGTTAGAATATGGGCCCTCAGAACTCCATCTAGCTGGACAGTGGGGCCTTGGGAACCTTGGGGTATGGGACAGCACAAATACTCCTCTTGTTCCAATGCCATTTGCCATGTCCAGTGGCAGGGTTGCCATATCAGATAGAAGTACCTAGAGGCGGTGTTTGGCTCGGCGGTGAAGTCAACACTTGGGACGCCCACATCCCACGTCAGAGTGCCACCTCATGGGCTTCCTGTTCATGTGCACTCTGGGAGCCAGCAGGCGATGGCTCAAAAGTACTTGGATCCCTGCCACCCCACTTGGGAAATCCAGATGGAGTTCCTGGCTCCTGACTTGGGCCTGACTCAGCCCCGGCTTTTGTGCGTATTTGGAGAGTGAACCAGCAGATGGAAGATCTCTCCCTGCCTGTCAAATAAAAGGAGAATAAATAGAGATGCCTCGTTAAATGTGGATTCTGGAAAACCACGGGTCACCTAAGTGTATGCTCCAAATGTTGTAATTCGTCTTTGGTTATTTGAAATTCTTTTTTTTTTTTCCTTTTTTGACAGGCAGAGTGGACAGTGAGAGAGAGAGAGAGAGAGAGAGAGAGAGAGAGAAAGGTCTTCCTTTGCCATTGGTTCACCCTCCAATGGCTACCACAGCCGGCGCGCTGCGGCCGGTGCACCGCGCCAATCCGATGGCAGGAGCCAGGTACTTCTCCTGGTCTCCCATGGGGTGCAGGGCCCAAGCACTTGGGCCATCTTCCAGTGCACACCCTGGCCACAGCAGAGAGCTGGCCTGGAAGAGGGGCAACCAGGACAGAATCTGGCGCCCCGACTGGGACTAGAACCCGGTGTGCCGGCGCCACAGGCGAAGGATTAGCCTAGTGAGCCGCGGCGCCGGCTGGTTATTTGAAATTCTAAGCGAACTGGGAGCTGCCCCTTGTGTGTTCTCATGGGCTGCATCTGACAACTCCACTCGACAGGGGCGAATGAGGAGGGAACGCAGAGTGGAGGCCCAGGAAGGAGATGGGGTTGTCCAGAGCTCTGCTATTTGTCCACCTTTCATTCTACTGAGGGCTCGGGGGCTGAGGCTTGAACCTGGGCGAGATCTTAGCCCGTATGCCCTACGGGTGAGGAGCCAGCAGTTCAGAGACCTGGCTTCAGAGACCTCCCACTGCCAAAGCCAAAGACTCAAGTTCGCAAGCAGTTTTCTCTGTGAACTTGAACTTGCCCAAGGTCAACAGCAGCAGGGAGTCGGGGCTCAGGGCCAGTCTCTGAGCCTCCTGCTGCTCCGAGGTCGGAATGAGGAGGCCAGGCTTGCAGTCCTGTCACGCCCACACCAGGGAGACGGGAACCAGAAGCCAGTGAGAAAGAGGGGGCAGGTGGGGTGGGGTCGGGGGCGCTGCCCCAGGCCCATGGACTTTGCTGCCACCTAGAGGAAGGCTAACACCAGTACCTCCCTGGGAAACTGCACCTGTCTGATCCCTCCTGCCTTCTTAGTCCTCCCTGTCCTGGGCTCCACCACCCTCGTATGACCCTGAACAAGCCCCCTCCTCTGCCTCTCAGTTTTCTCTCTAACAATAAGGCTTCTCCAATTGGCAGCAGGCCCAATCTTTCTAAAACACAGACCTGGCCAGGTTCCTCCCCTGTCTAAATCCAGCCCCTGCTCCCCACTCCCTGTTGGGAGCCTGGTAGGCCCTGCAGGATCTGAACCCAGCTGACCTCACCCACTCCCCACTTCTCTGGGCCAAGAACATCCTCAATCACCAGGCTGTCCCAGGGCCTTTGCACACACTCTTCCCCCTCCCTCCCCTGACTTCTTCCTACTCATGCTGCAGATGTTGGTTAGCTGTCCCTTCCAGGGAGCCCCCACCCCGTGCCCCCCACCACCACCAGGATGGACAAGCGTACTTTAGGTTTCTACTGAGGACTGGGTGATGTCTCAGGGAAGGGTATGACTTGGAAGAGGTCAAATGTCAAGCCAGGAGACTCAGGGTCTGGGGGCCACATCATTGTGCACTGGATTAAGCTGCCATGTTCAATGCCTGTGTCCCATATTGGAGTTCTGGTTCGAGTTCCTGCTACTCTGCCTCTGATCCAGCTCCCTGCTACTGCACCTGGAAAACAACAGAGGATGTACTGTCACCCACAAAGAAGACCCAGATGGAGTTCCTGGCTCCTGGTTTCAGCCTGGCCCCACCCTGGCTGTCGCAGCTATTTGGATAATGAACCAGCAGATAGAATCAATCTCTCTCTCTCCCTCCCCCTCTCTCTCAACTTTGCTTTTCAAATAAAATAAATATTTAAAAAAGAAAAAAAGACTTTGTCCTTTTTAGTATGCAGACTCTACGTAGTCTTGGGGGGCAACGTGTGATTTTCAAGTTTCTGGTGTGGCCACTTCCTGGGATGTGGAGGCTGAGGGAGGACAGGTGGGGCGCAGGTTTGGGGATGGCTGACGTCTTCTGTACCCCAGGCCCTGGGCAAGTGTCGGGTTATCCACATGAGCGCTATGCAGACCTTGGCTGCCCCCTGGTGGCCTGGTGCTGGTGCCTCAGCCTGCTCTTGGCTTGAGCCATGGGTTACGTCACCCTCCTGGGCAGCACAGTCCTAGGCTCTGTCCCTTCATGACACCGAGACATTCTACCGCCACAATTACAAACAAACCAAAGCAGTATTTTTTTTTTTTTTGACAGGCAGAGTTAGACAGTGAGAGAGAGAGACAGAGAGAAAGGTCTTCCTTCCGTTGATTTACCCCCTAAATGTCCGCTACGGCCGGCGCTGCACCAATCCAAAGCCAGGAGCCAGGAGATTCCTCCTGGTCTCCCATGCGAGTGCAGAGCCCAAGGACTTGGGCCATCCTCCACTGCCTTCCCGGGCCACAGCAGAGAGCTGGACTGAAAGAGGAGCAACCAGGACAGAATCCGGCGCCCCAACTGGGACTAGAATCCGGGGTGCCAGCGCCACAGGCAAAGGATTAGCCTAGTGAGCTGCAGCGCCGGCCCAAAGCAGTATTTTTAATCTAAGATGAAGAATGAATAATTTAAAAAATGTATTTATTTAAGAGACAGAGGGTTCATTCCCATCAGCTGGTTCACTCCCCAAATACCTGCGGCAGCCAGGGCTTGGCCAGACCGAAGCCAGCAGCTGACAATTCAATCTGGGTTTCCCACGAGAGCGGCAAGGAGCTGAGGACTAGAGCCATCACCTGCACAATCACAGGAAGCTGGAGTTGGAAGCCCGAGCCAGGATTCGAACCTACGCACCCTGATATAGGATGCAAGCATCCTAAGAGGCATCTTTGTTTTTTAAGAGATTTTATTTGAGATGTAGAGTTACAGACAGAGAGAGGGAGAGGGAGAGGGAGAGGGAGAGGGAGAGGGAGAGAGAGAGAGAGAGAGAGAGAGAGAGAGAGGTCTTCCATCCACTGGTTCACTCCCCAGATGGCCGCAACAGCTGGAGCTGGGACGATCCAAAGCCAGGAGTCATGAGCTTCTTCCGGGTCTCCCATGCAGGTGCAAACCTGTTTTCTTGGCATCCCAACACTGAACTCAGCCTCCTAGTGAGAGGCAGAAGACATGGACTCTGAGCTTTCCTGGGGGCAGGGAGCTTAGGGCAGGGGTGCAGTGGGCTTCAGTCTGACCCCAGAACCCCACAGAGAGAATGAGAGGCACCTGACAGCCAGGGTCCCGGCGACATACCTGAAGGCACACGGAGAGGACCCGCCTACTTGCTCCAGAATCAGCAACAAACGAGGCCACACTGCCATCTGTCCACCTCCTCCGTGGAAAGGTTGGGGCCGGGGTTTCACTGGTTTATTCTCACTGCTGTCCACACACAGGATCTTCCTTTAGGATGACAGGGTAACCTGGAGTGAGGCTTGGCCCAAGCAACCTTCTGGCTCCTGCCAGGCAAAGGCTCAGGATGAGACATCGGTTTCCCAGAGTGGAGTGGTTCCAGAATCCTTTCTCCCTGAACCGAACGGATAAGAAAAACGAGGCCCAGGGAAAGGCAGGGACCTGGGAGGCCTGAACGACCAAATAGGCCCCAGGGCCCTCTCGGACCCCACCCTGCTCACACGGCAGGTGAACACCTGAGGCCTCCGGGTCTGGCACCCCCAGAGGCTCTATGAGGGCTCTTCAAAACATTCATGGAGGGCCCATTGTGGCCCAGAGGGTAAGCCACCACTCGCAACCCTGGTGGTCCATAGCAGAGCGCTGGTTCAAGTTCCAGCTGCTCTGCTCCCTACCCAGCATTCCTGGGAAGGCAGTGGCTAATGGCCCAAGTTTTGGGGTCAATGCTTCTCATGTGGGAGACACAGATGGAAGTCGTGGGGCCTGCCTTCAGTCTGCCCAGCTGATGCGGTCATTTGGGGAGTGACCAACAGATGGATGAAGTCTCTCTCTCTCTCTCTCTGTTATTCTGACTTTCAAATTCATTTTAAATGAGAAAGAGGGAGGGGGAGAGAGAGAGAATCTTTTATATGCTGGTTCACTCCCCAAGTGTATACAACAGCTGGATCTGAGCCAAGATGAAGCCCGGAGCCAGGAGCTCCAGTCAGGTCCCCTACATGGGTGGTAGAGATCCAAGCACTTGGGCTTTATTTCTCACCACAATCTCCATCACATTTGAGATACTTTTGTAAGCAATGAAACAAATCATTTCGTCTGAGTCCTGGGGAAGGTAGCCATGTCCAATATAGTCTTTTTCACATTACCAACTGAAGAAAAATAAGTGCTCTCCAAAGATTTTTTTTCCCCAAAGGTTAGGAAATAAAGGACTGGTATTGTGGCACAATGGGTTAAGCTGCCACCTGCAATCCTGGCATCTCACAGGAGCACCAGCTCGTGACTCCTGGTTGCTGTACTTCTGATCCAGCACCCTGCTAATGCACCTGAGAAAGCAGCAGAGGATGACCCAAGTCCTTGGGCTCCTGCCACGCATGTGGGAGATCTGGAAGAAGCTCCTGGCTCCTGTCTGGTCCAGCCCCAGATGTTGCAACCATTTGGGGAGTAAACCAGTGGATGAAAGATCTCTTCTTCTCTCTGTGGAACTCTGCCTTTAAAATAAACAAATAAACCTTATTTTAAAAATATTAGAAAACAAAAACAAGTCAGATGGAGACAAATCAGGACTGTAAAGTGGAAGCCTAGTGATTTCCCACCAAAACTCGCACACAGTTGTCCTTGTTTGACACACGGAATGAGCAGGAGCGATGTTACGATGTTATGGTGGAGAAGGACTCTGAAGATTTCCCCAGGTGTTTTTCCGCTGAAGGTGTTTTTCCAACTTTCTCAAAACACTCCTAATCGCAGACGTTATTGTTCTTCAGCCTTCCAGAAGGTCAATTAACATAATGCCTTGAGCATTCTAAAAGAACTGTTGCCTTGACCTTTGCTTCCGGCAGGTCTGCTTCTGCTTTGACTGGGCCACTCCCATCTCTTGACAGCCATTGCTTTGATTGTACTTTGTCTTCAGGGTCCTATTGAAAAAGCATCCCCCCGCCCCCATTTTTTTCTCTTACAATTTTTTGAAAAAATGCTTCAAGATCTTGGTTCCACGTGTTTAGAATTTCTATTGAAAACTCCACGCTTGTCTGCAGCAGTTTTGGTACCTGTAAAGTAGTAAGTTCCCTCTGCTTCAGCTTTCCTGTAATAACTGGGCAAGCTGAACCAACTGAAGTGTCTGGGTGTTGGTTATTGTTTCTGCTGTTCGTTGCTGGCCCTCTTCGGTGAGGGCACAGGCAAGATGAACTTTTCCTTGCAAATTCATGCGGATGGTCTGCTGCTGTGGGCTTCATCACCGATGTCCCAATCTGAAATGGCTGGAGCTGGGCCAATCTGAAGCCAGGAGCCAGGAGCTTCTTTCGGGTCTCCCATGCAGGTGCAGGGGCCCAAGGACTTGGGCCATCTTCCACTGCTTTCTCAGGTCATAGCAGAGAGCCGGATCAGAAGTGGAGCAACTGGGACTTGAACCGGCGCCCATATGGGATGCCAGCACTGCAAGCAGCAGCTTTACTAACAGTGTCAGCCCCCAAGCAGGTGTCTTGCCTTGACTTCTCTTTTGTTTTCTTTTTTTTTTTTTTTTAACTATGTTGAGGCACAGGTGGTTGGTTCAGCAGTTAAGATGCCACTTGGATACCCACATTCCATGTTGGAGTACCTGGGTCTCGAATTCCAGCTCCAGTTCTGATTCCAGATTCCTGCTAATGCACACCTTGAGGGCAGCAGGTACTGGCTTAAGTAGTTGGGTCCATACCTCTCACATGAGAGGCCTAGACAGAGTTCCTGGCTTAAACCTGGCTCAGCGCCAGCTGCTGTCATTTGGAGAATGAACCAGCAAGTAGTAGATCTCTCTCTCTCTCTCTTCTCTCTCAAATAATGACTATATAAAAAATTTAAAAGAAAATTTAAAAAGTATGTTGAAAGCTCACTCTATCCTTAGCCTATTCTAAGTATCCTCACAACCTTCTGAGGTAGAAATAAATCAGAACACATCTGTGGTTAGACAAGTTGGGATTATCATTTGATCTGGGAAGGCAGGGAGGTGGCAAGATATGAACCATGAGAAACAATTCAGTATCTCAGCAGCACTGTAAGAAAGGCTGGGTAGAATTCCGGCTGTGTCAGGAGATTTTGAGGAGGGTTTAAGGAAGTGGGGCTTTGATCTGGATTGGGTACAGCCAGTGGAAAGCTTAATACATCTTATTTAGAAGGAGAGAAGGGTAGACTAAGGCTAAAGCTGTCGTCTTTAGTTGTGGATAGGCAGATGTTTCGTCTGGGTTCAAACATTCATTTTTTTTTAAAAGGCATTATTTATTATTTCTTTGAAAGGCAGAGTTAGAGAAAGAGCGAGAGAGAGAGCGAGAGCTCTTCTATCTGCTGTTTCACTCCCTGAATGGCCACAAGTGAAGTCAGGAGCCTGAAATTCCATCCAGTCTTCTGGTACTTTAGCAGGGAGCTATAGCAGAAGTGGAGCAGCCGAGACTCCATCTAGCAGACATACGGGATTCTGGCATTGCAGGTGGTGGCTTAATCCACTGAACCACAACACCACTCCCAGTTCAGACATTCTTACAGAGGGATCTTGCTATCATCTTGACCCATCATGGTCACAGGTTGATGTTTTATGAGATTTTTATGTTCAACAAGAGAACACCGAAGTTAAGCAGTGAGTGCCAGACCTCCAGGATGTCAGGGGCTGCTTTTCTGTTTCTCAAAACATAGACTCAAATCCAGATTTGTGTGATGACAAAAGTCCTTCATGTTACTGCGTATTCAGAACAAACTCAGAAGGTTGTTGGCAGATTTCACTACGAATTTATTTCACCTACTACATTCATCTCCTACTCAGGTCCAGTTTCTATCAGTCCCTGGATTAACTGTTGGCACTTAATAAATGTTTGTTCAGTGGGGCTAGTGTCATGGCTTAGAGCGTGAAGCCACTGTGTATGATCCCAGCAGACCACACTGGAGTGCCAGTTGAGTCCCAGCTGCTCTGTTTCCCATCCAGCTACTGATAATACACCTGGGAAGGCAGCAGAAGATGGCCTAAGTGCTTGGATCCCTGCCACCCACGTGGGAGAAGCTCCTGGCTCCTGGCTTCAAACTGACCCAGCCTTTGCTATTACAGCCATTTGGAGGGTAAACCAGAGATAGAAGATCTCTTCTCTCTGTCTCTCCCTCTCTGTCATTATGCTTTTCACATAAAAAAATCTTTAATAAATAGACAAATAAATGTTTATAGAGTAAACGGAATGGTGAAGATAATGGCCAAGAACTCCATGGTGCTGGCTCTGTGGCATAGTGGGTAAAGCCGCTGCTTGCAGTGCTGGCATCCCATATGGGTACCAGTTCACGTCCTGGCCGCTCCACTTCTGATCCAGCTCTCTGCTGTGGCCTGGGAAAGCAGTAAAAGATGGCCCAAGTATTTAGGCCCCTATACCTGCGTGGGAAGACCCAGCGGTAGCTCCTGGCTCCTGGCTTCAAATTGGCACAGCTCTGGCTGCTGCAGCCAACTGGGAAGTGAACCAGCAGATGGAAGACATCTCTACGTCTCTCTCTCTCTCTCTCTCTGCCTCTCCTCTCTGTGTAATTCTTTCAAATAAATAAATAAATCTTAAAAAAAAAAAAAAAGAACCCCAGAGAACCACTCTTTGGGTGTGTTGCTGTGGACTCGTTCTGAGAGGAGGAGCATGGTGGGGACAAGAGGCACAGAGTCACCACACAGACTCCGGGAGCAGGAGCGTTGGAATCCAGGGCCTGAATTCTGCATCCGTTCCTACATTAATGGCAAACACGCAGGTGGGATGGGGTTTAGCAGCTGCCCTGAGAGCCTGGGGTCTGCCACAAACATGGAGATCCTCACTGGGTGTGGATGGGATGACCTCGCATGGGTTATTGCCTCGAGGTCATCTAAGTTCATCCCACGGATATTTGAGGGGTGGCTGACTAGGCATTGCTGCATTGTCTGCTGTCATGTCATTTTCACTGTCAGAGTTCTCTCTCCCTAAGTCATCAATTGTTGTCTGTGAGGCAGAGGCCTGGAGTAACAGGCTCTTATCACTCACAGATTCATTATGTTTGGTAATCTGTGTGGGTTTCTGAGAGGGGGGTATCTTCCCCATGTTTGAGTACTTAAGAGCAGCACGCCACGCCAACTCTAGCCAAAGGAAAGACACCTCAGCGGCTGATGGCATTCTGCAAGGGTTTCCCTATGTTAGATGAACAGACAGTGGTGCATCAGATCATAAGTATGTCCTGTACTTAGTGGGGGACTTCCTTGATTCATTAGGTCAAGGCAGTATGCTCACACGGTGTCTCCAGAGCGTCACCTCTTTCGAGCAAGGGAAAATGACTTGGTTCCAAATTCTGGAATGATCAGTCCCTTACGTTAATTCGAATCGAAAGTAAAAGGAGGAGCCAAGAAGTGGGGATATGCTTCTGGGCAGTGTGTGCCTAACCTGGGGTCACTTCGATCGAGGACAAGGACAAGGAAAGGGGCATAGGAGGGGGTTCTGTGTTCACGCTCAAGAACCGAACAGCACACAAAACACCGAGGGGCTTACTTGCCAAAATCAAGGGGGGTTCTCGCCAAGTCTGACACTTTCTCCTTCAGTCACGTTGGGCGCCAGATGTTGAGGTTGATTTGTTCTGAGAGGAGGAGGAGAACTAGCACGGTGGGGGCAAGAGGCGCAGAGTCACCACACAGACCCCGGGAGCTGGGTGAAAGCCGGCCAGAGGTGAGCAGCATGCAGACTCGTTTATTTCAGTTGGTACAGCAACTTATATAGCCAAGGCATCCAATCCAGTCAAGGGGCGGTCTATGCCCTAACCAATCATAGCCTGTTGCCAGGCAGGCTCTGTTGTCAGCAGCCATCTTGGCATGGCCTTATTCCACGTCTCTCTCTCTCTGCCTCTCCTCTCTGTGTAACTCTTTCAAATAAATAAATCTAAAATAAATAAATAAATAAATAAAAGAACTCCAGAGAACCACTCTATGGGTGCAAATCGCAGCTCCGTCAACTATCAAGGTATGATTTGATAGAATACACATTAACAGCTAACCCATGAACATAGTACAGTTTGGTTAGTTGTCTCAATATTATCCATTATAGTTATTCCAGTTTAGAATAACACCTCACACTTTCCTGTCATGATTCTTAATTCTCCTTTAAACTGGGGCAGTCCCTCAGTTTTCCATTTCACTGACAGTTATTTTGTAGTGTCCCTCGATTTGGATGTATTTGATGCCTCCTCATGCGATTTGGACTATGCACGTTTCACAGAGATACCACAGAACATACGTTGTGTCCTTCTAAGTATGCTAAAGTAGCAAGGTAGACATAAGCGTATGTGTGCAAGAGGGGCCAAAGAAAATGGAATTTTTAAAGAAAATGAATTTATGTGCAATGGAATGAGGAGATAAGCTCTGAAAGCAGATCAACAATCACACCTAAAGTAATCACTCTTGTTCAATAACTCCGTTAGATGGGTTTCAGGGTCAGCACCGCGGCTCAATAGGCTAATCCTCCACCTAGCGGTGCCGGCACACTGGGTTCTAGTCCCGGTCAGGGCGCTGGGTTCTTTCCTGGTTGCCCCTCTTCCAGGCCAGCTCTCTGCTATGGCCCGGGAATGCAGTGGAGGATGGCCCAAGTGCTTGGGCCCTGCACCCCAGGGGAGACCAGGAGAAGCACCTGGCTCCTGGCTTCGGATCAGTGCGGTGTGCCAGCTGCAGCACGGTGTGCCAGCTGCAGCGCGCCAGCCATGGCGGCCATTAGAGGGTGAACCAACAGCAAAGGAAGACCTTTCTCTCTGTTTCTCTCTCTCACTATCCACTCTGCCTGTCAAAAATAAAAAATAAATAAAAATTAAAAAAAAGAGTATGTAGAGATAAAAAAAAAAAAAAGATGGGTTTCAGCCCTGTCCCTGGGTGCCGCTTAGGGGAATCTCCCCTGCCCTGCACCAACAGGGCTATTAGGTCCAATAACACTGTGCTGGGAGGCTTTTTGGAAACTCCATATCCAGCCAACTCCCCTACCCAGTAATTTCTCATCAGAGGGAGGAGAGGAAGAGAAATAGGTGGATCCACACTTATATCCATAAAAAAAATCCAGTTCAAAATGGACTAGACACTCAATTCTTTTCTGAGTCACCTGCCTGGTCTGAGTCTCCCATCTGTGTAGCAGGGACCCAACCACCTCTAGCCATGACCTGCTGCCTCCCAGTCAACATTAGTAGGAAGCCGGAGTCGGGAGTAGAGCCGGGATTCAAACCCACTCTGAAGTGCATGCAGGTGTTCCAAGAGATATCTCATCCACAAGGCTGACACTATTACTGTGTAAATATCCTGCTTCCCTTACTTCGCCATTCATTATTGCTATTCTAAATCCAACATGTTTAGTCATTGGTATTCTGCTGAAAGGAAGAGTTTCTTTCTCTCCAATTATTTGTTCACATATTTACTTTAGTAAAGACTCATGGAGTATTATTCACTTAGTTATACTCTACTACTTTTTTTTTTAATCAGCTGTGTCTTTTTAAAAGATTTATTTATTTATTTAATATTTAAAAGGCAGAGTTACACAAAGAGAGAGGAGAGGCAGAGACAGAGGGGTCTTCCATCTGCTGGTTCACTCCCCAATTGGCCGCAATGGCTGGAGCTGCGCCATTCCGAAGCCAGGAGCCAGGTCCCACGGGCAGATGCAGGGGTCCAAGGACTTGGGCCATCTTCCACTGCTTTCCCAGGCAATAGCAGAGAGCTGGATTGGAAGTGGAGCAGCCGGAGACTCGAACCGGCACGCATATGGGATGCCGGCGCTTCAGGCCAGGGCTTTGACCCGCGGCGCCACAGCGTCGCCATCGCCCCCCCCCCCCCCATCATTCTTATTAGCATCATCCTTACATGCTGGTACAACAAGATGTTCCAGGTTTATCCGATACTTTCCGAAACAACTTTTCCTTCAAGCAGCCCCAACCCCCAGCTTCGCTGAAAAACCGCCTCCTGCCGGCAAGCGGAACCTTAAAGCCCCTCTCCTGGGCCGGAGAACAACGCGCGGACAAGCCTTTTCCGGTTAGGGCCGGAAGTCCTTCGGAAAGGGGCGGTTCCGTGTCAGGTGATCAGAGTTCGCGTAGGAGGGGTCAGAGGTCCGATCCTAAAGACTGACGGGGCGGTAGGACCGGCCAGTCGCGGACAGACCGACAGCCTGGCACGGCCTTGGAGGCGATAGCTCCGCGGAGGAGGTACGAGAGGGGCTGGGGAAGCGGCAGGGGCCGTCGAGAATGGGGGACGGGGACGGGAGCCCCAATTCTGAGGCTCGCGGGCTGCGACACCCGAACCCGGGGGCCCGGGGACAGCAGCCCAAGCCCGGGGCTCTCCGCCCCAGAAGGAAGGTCGGCTGGCGTTGTAGTCTTCCGTCTCCTGATCACAGGGTGGGGAAACTGAGGCCTTGAGAACGGGAATTGCTCCCATGAGTTCTTTCCGGCCCGGGCCGGGAGCGGGGGGCGCACCCTGACCCCTTTCTGCCTCACGCGGGGCCGCCTCTGTCTCTTGTCGGGGTGCGTGGAGCGAGCTGGAGCCGAGGCGGGAAGGCCGAGACCGCGGAGCGTGAGGAACCGCACCGGGCTGAAAGAGACTCGGGTTCGAGTTCTGGGCCAGATGTCTTCGCTGGACTGCGCCTCAGCCTTCTCATTTGTAAAATGGGGGCAGTGTGCCCCCAGATATGGTCCTTAGCACCTTGTGTTTTGAAACCGCCTGGGATGCCGGCTTGACAGTTCCGGACTCGAATCGGACATCTGGCCTGGAGTCTGGGCGGGAACCTGGGGAGCCTAGGGCTTGCGAGTCCTGTCCACACGGCTGTTTGGCGCCGGTTCATTCTCTGCGCCTGGCTGCTCGGAGTGCTGGGTCCTTGTTCCTGGCTTGACAGAAACTGAAGGCAGTTCGGGAACTTTGAACGGACTGGGCGGTTTAACGTGGACAAGAGAGCACTCGCTAGAACAGAGCTGTCTTTAAAAACCGGAGGGGGAAAAAAAAAGTTAGGGTGAAGTGGGCTTCTGCTTTGTCTTTAAGGCAGAATTAGGAGCGGGCAGTAGGTGGATTCTACAGAAAGATTTTTACTTGGGAGAGTGGTCAGAGATGACCAGCGGTAGAATGGATTGGCTGCAAGGGTTGCAGGGAACATACAGGTGTTGGGCAGAAGTCCCTTCCAAGATCTCTGATTCTGAGTAGTTATTTTGCAGCTTTCTGGTGCTGACTCAGCCCCCAAAGTGTGACTTTTTTATTTTATTATTATTATTTGCTCTGCTCTTGACATCCCCTGCAGTAAGTGAGGCCGACACACCTGCCCTTATGTAATCCCTTCCTGGTTGGCCTGTGCTCCATCCTCCTTTTCGAGGACTTTGGAATGACCCAGTATCTGATGGATGTTTGTTATGAATAACTAAACAGGGTCCCACCCCATCCAGTTAGTAGCTTATTTTTTAAGAACAACTTGGAAATGGCACTGAAGACCTTGTATTTGACCAGGAGAAGGCAGTGAGTTTTTGGATCACAGAGCTGAGGGGCCAAGAGTGGAAAGGTCTCTTCAGGTTGTTTAGGCCAGCCTTCTCCCTGGAATATTCTCCCTCTTTAATTCTCTCTTCAGCATTGTCTATGTAGATGTGGATTTTTGCATGGAGGGTAGCTTTAAAAAAATTTTTTTTAGATTTTTTTGTTTATTTGAACTGCAGAATGACAGAGTGCGCACGAGCAAGGTCAAGATGTATTTTCCGGGCCGGCGCCGTGGCTCAATAGGCTAATCCTCCACCTTGCGGCGCCGGCACACCGGGTTCTAGTCCCGGTTGGGGCGCCGGATTCTGTCCCGGTTGCCCCTCTTCCAGGCCAGCTCTCTGCTATGGCCAGGGAGTGCAGTGGAGGATGGCCCAGGTGCTTGGGCCCTGCACCCCATGGGAGACCAGGAAAAAGCACCTGGCTCCTGGCTCCTGCCAGGATCAGCACGGTGCGCCGGCTGCAGCGGCGGCCATTGGAGGGTGAACCAACGGCAAAAGGAAGACCTTTCTCTCTCTGTCTCTCTCTCTCTCACTGTCCACTCTGCCTGTCAAAAAAAAAAAAAAAAAAAAAAAAAAAAGATGTATCTTCCACCCACTGATTTCACTCCCCAAATGGCCACAAGAGTCAGGACTGAGCCAGGCGGAAGCCGCGAGCCAGGAGCTCCGTGTAGGTGGCAGGGGCCCAGGCACTTGGGCCACCATCTGTTGCCTTCCCAGGTGCATTAGCAGGGAGCTGGATTGGAAGTGGAGCAGCCAGGACCCAGTGTGAGATGCTGGCATCTCAAGCAGTGGCTTAGCCCACTGCAGCGCCACGCTGGCCCTACAGGCTGGCTTTCTGTCCAGTAGGTAGAACCATCCTCTTATTGCCCTGACTTGCCATCCCACCTCCCTGTAATCTGCACGTGATGCTTCTCGCTTATTTTTAGTTTTCTAATCAAACATCAGATTTCCTCACCTTGTGGCTTTACCGAACTCCAAGTAGATCACTTTTCCAATGCCTGTTTCGAAACGCTTATGTTGTCTTATGGAGCACAGATTCCATATTATGACCAAATTCTGCTGTTGCTCCCCTCAACCCCCAAACAAAAAGGGTTGAAGTTGAGCCAAAACCTGCCCTTGTTTATCCTTATGTTTGTGTTTCTCAAGATTAAAAAAAAAAAAAAAGTTGTGAAATGCTGTCTCAGATGTTATCCAGGTGATAGGTAAAATACTCTTTTTTTTTTTTTTTTAAAGATTTGTTTACTTATTTGAAAGGCAGAGCTACACAGAGAGAAAGAGAGACAGAGATTGTCCTAGCTGGTTCACTCCCTAAATGGCTGCAGTGGCCAGGGCTGGATCAGGCCAAAGCCAGGAGCTTCATCTGGGTCTTCCACATGGGTGCAGGGGTCCAAGTACTTGGGCTGTCTTCTGCTGCTTTCCCAGGTGTGTTAGCAGGGAGCTGGATTGGAAGTAGAGCAACCGGGACTTGAACTGGTGCCCATATGGGATGCCAGCACTGCAGGCAGCAGCTAACCCACTTTGCCACAATGCCAGCTCCAAAATACTCCTTTTTTTTTTTTTTAAGATTTATTTATTATTTAAAAGTCAGAGTTACACAGAGGAGAAGCATGGGGAGGGAGGGGTCTTTCATCTGCTGGTTCACTCCCTAATTGGCCGCAACAGCCGGAGCTGGGCCGATCCGAAGCCAGGAGCCAGGAGCTTCTTCCAGATCTCCCACGTGGGTAGCAGGGGCCCAAGGACTTGGGTTATCCTCTACTGCTTTCCAGGCCATAGCAGAGAGCTGGATTAGAAGTGGAGGAGCTGGGACTCGAACTGGTGCCCATATGATATGCCAGCACTATAGGCGGCGGCCTTACCTGCTACTCCACAGCGCCAGCCCCCTGAAATACTCTTGATTTGTTGGAGTTTTTAGAACATCTCATTTCCTTTTAGAGAAGTACGTGAATTAGTGTTTTTGTAAGTGTGTTTTTCAGGCTACTGGTCTGAAGTAGTGTTTCTGAATAAAGGGTTCGAAGGCGAAAATAAGTTTGGGGAAAATGACATGACATTCGTATCAGTCGGCTTTAAGTGACTACAGTAAAAACCTGGAGAGAAAACTGCTTAGGAAGGAGAGTTCACTTTGGCTCCTGGTTCTGGAAGTTCACAGTCCAAGACTGAGGCTCTGTTGATTTGGCCTGTGATCAGGCCACTTGGCAGCAGCAGAGCCTTGTGGAGGAAGGATCATGGCAAGCCAGAGAGCAGACAGGCTGTGTCCCACTAGGCTTTACAACCAACCCTCTCTCCAGAGTTACCTTCTCGGGGCTGGCATTGTGGTGCAGTGGGTTAAGCTGCCACCTGTGATGCCAGAACCCCATACTTGAGCCTGTTCAAGTTCTGTCTGTTCCTCTTCTGATCCAGCTTCCTGCTAATGTGCATGGGAAGGCAGCAGACAATGGTCGAGTGCTTGGGCCCCTGCCACCCACATGGGAGATCGGATAGAGCTCCAGGCTCCTGACCTTGGCCAGTTGCAATCATTTGGGGATTGATCCAGTGCATGGGAGATCTCTCTCTCTTTAAAGATTTATTTTTTATTTATTTGAAACACAGTTAACATAGAGAAGGAGAAGCAGAGAGAGAGAGAGGTCTTCCATCCTCTGGTTCACTCCCCAGATGGCCGCAGCGGCCGAAGCTGCGCCGATCCGAAGCCAGGAGCAGGAGCTTCTTCCAGGTCTCCCACAGGGTGCAGGGGCCCAAGGACTTGGGCCATCTTCCACTGCTTTCCCAGGCACATTAGCAGGAAATTGGGTCAGAAGTGGAGCAGCCAGGGCTCTAAGGGGCACCCACATGGGATGCTGGCATTGCAGGTGGCTGCTTTTCTGGCTATACCATAACAACACCAGTCCCGAGCATTACCTTCTGAGGACATGCCTCCAAAGGACATCTGACGACCTCTTGCTAGACCCCACCTCTAATCACTGTAATCAGATTCTGTCTTCTCCATACTATTCTTATGATTTTGGGGTTTAAACAGCTGTGTGAGTTTGAGAGCCAAATTCTATTCAGACCATAGCATCATTATCATTTCTTGGAGTTTCTCAGAGTATAGAACCACATTATAGGCACTAAGAGATCGTGAAGTAAAGAGATGGACTGTAAGCCAGGATAATAACTTATATCACTTAATCTGGGGTTGCCAAATTTATGTAATGTGAAATCTTTTAAAAAATTGAAGCAGGGGCCAGCTCTGTGGTGGAGTAGGTTAAGCCTCTACCTGTGGTGCCGGCATACCATATGGGCTCCAGTTCGAGTCCTGGCTGCTCCACTTCCGATCCAGCTCTCTGCTAATGTCCTGGGAAACTAGTAGAAGATGGCCCAAATGCTTGGGCCCCCATGCCCATGTGGCAGACCCAGATGATGTTTCTGGCTGCTGGCTTTGGATCAGCAGGTCCCCGGCCATTGTGGCCATTTGGCGAGTGAACCAGTGGATAGAACATCTCTTTCTGTCTCTCCCTCTCTCTGTCTGTAACTCTGCCTTTCAAAAAATAAGTAAAAATAATTCTTTAAGAAAAAAACCGAAGCATACATTAGCAAATTCTGACCTAGAATTGGGGTCTGCAGAACAGCCTATGAACCAAATCTGGACAAATCCTCCCCCCCCTTTATTTTTATGGACTGTGAGCTAACAGTGGTTTTTCCATTTTTTAAAAGTTTTGTTT